CTCTGTTGTACAGATAGACATGTGTCTCAGTTCTCCCTGCGCTCTGCTGCTTGACTGTTTCCCCCTGGATTTGCGGAGCAGGGCATGCCTCCCGGTCTATACAGGCCCCATCTATCTATCACCACTGACTCCACAACAGAGCAAGTCATGATTCCCTGCCCCTGAGGCAAAGGACAAAAAATGTCTCAAGTTTAGTTAAAAATGACATTATTTTTTACAACCCAAGTGTAAAGGTTCAGACTATATCCTGCCACTGTTTTTTTAATTAATAACTTGCTACATCATTATATAGAATAAAAGACATCTAAAAAGAATTCCCAAGTCATTCATTCCATTTATTCATTACATTTCAAACTAACTTGATAGGGACCAGCTGGAAGGAAAACAGGAAAAACACATTCATTTTTTTAGGTGACTCTTGTGAGCCCTGTAGCAAGTCAAGGTCATGAGATGTCAGTCTTGTGAAGGATTAAATCACAGGCAAAACCCTCTCATGTACACAACAAACTTTTAAATCACAATTAGTTGCTCTACACAAACTAACAAGAATGTTGGCTCTACTGCCTCTTCCATTTCTCCTGTGCTGAGACCTTAAAGAGGAGAACATCAGCAACTTAAGAAATAGAAAGAGTGGCTGCAAGGAATGCCATTTCCTCAATGAGGTAATGAGCTGATCAAGTTGTATCCTGACAGACACAGTGAAGTAGAAAGCTGAGAGATTATTACATGAATATAATCTACAAGTGTAAAACCTTCTCCCCACATGTAAGCTTTGTTTTGTTTTGTTTTCTCTCCATATGGTTTTTTTAATTTGGCTTTTAATTTGCATTTCCCTGATGGTTTCAATGATCTTTTAATGTGCTTGCTTGCTGGCTGTTTGTTTAAATCTCTTGCATGTTTTTACTTGAGCTGTTTCCTTTTTATTGAATATTGAGATTGACTTGTATCCTGAATATAAGGAATCAAATATTCTTTTGAAATTATTCTCCCTCACTCTGTGGACTGTCTTTTCATTCTCCTAATGATGCTTTTGAAGTTGTAGAGTCTGTAATTTTGACAAAGTATAATTTATCAATTTGTTCTTTTATGGTTTGTACTTGTGTTGTCCTGCATAGGAAATCTTTGCCTAACCCGAGACCACAGAGAGTTTCTCTGGTGTTCCTAACTAGAAGTTTTATAGTTTCACATTTTAAATTTAGGTGTATGGTCCATTTTATGATCAATTTCAGTTAATAATCTATTTCATTAATTAATGTTTAAGTATTAATTAATGTTTGTATCTGATAAGTAGAGATAGTTCGTCATTTTGTGAATGGATATCTAGCTGTTTCATTACGGTTCATTGATGACTTTCTCCATGGAATGTCCTTTGTCAAAAATAAGATGTCCATATACATGTGGATCTATTTCTGGACTCCATGGATCCATTTGTCTATCTCAATGCTAGTACCATACTGTCTTGATTACTATAGCTATATCAGTCTTGAAATCAGGCCAAACTTTCCCTTCTTTTTGCAAGTTGCTTTGTCTATTGTAGGTGTTTTGCATTTTCATATAAATTTTAGAATTAGCTTGTCAATTTCTACCCAAAAAAAGTCTGCTAGGATTTTAATTAGGATTACATGAAATCTATAGATCAATTTAAAGCGAATTTAATCAATCTTTTAAGAGTCACAAGCAGTGGCTATCACATATCTCTATTAATGTAGTCAAGTAAAGTTAAGGGCAAGTCCATAGTTAAGGACAACTATAAAAATTATGACAGGTCCAAGAAGCTAGGCTGTTTCAAATATGACTAAAACCCACTAAAAATGATTCATCCATGTGGTACCCCACAAGTCTCTCAATGACACTGTAAAAGTTTAGGCCCTGAGAGAATCTTGGCTCAGAAGCCCAGATATTTATTTCTAAGAGTAAGCAAGGTATTTTCAAAAAGACATCCATTCTTTTTTTTTAATTGAATATAGTGGGGTAGCATTGGTTAATAAAACCATACAGGCTTTAAGTGTACAACTCTATAACACCAACTGCACACTGCAATGTGCACTCACCACCCAAAGTCAAGTCTCCTCCCATCACCACTTACCCCCCTGTGCCCTCTTCTACTTCCCCCTACCTTCCTTTCCCTCTGGCAATCACCATACAATCATCTGTGTCTACGAGTTGTTGGTGGAGTGTTTGTTTTTTTTTTGCTTAATCCCTTAACCTTTTGCACTAGCCCCCAACCCTCCTCCCCTCTGACAATCTGTTCTCTGTATCTATGAGTTTGTTTCTATTTTGTTTGATAGTTTACTTTGTTCATTTGATTCCACATGTAAGTGAAATCATATAGTACTTGTCTTTCTCTGACTGGCTTATTTCATAATACTCTCCAGGTCTATCCATCCTACCACAAAATATAAGATTCCATTCTTTTTATGGCCTACTAATATTCCATTGTGTAGATGTATCACAGCTTTTTTCCCCACTCATCTACTGATGGGCATTTGGGCTGCTTCCAAATCTTGGCTCTTGTAAATAACGCTGCAATGAACATAGGGTGCATATATTCTTTTCAATCGGTGTTTCCGTTTTCTTCAGATATATCTCCAGAAGTTGAATTGCATGGTCATAAGGCAATTCCACTTTTAATTTTTTAAGGAAACCCTGTACTGTTTTCCATAGTGGCTGCACCAGTCTGCATTTCCACCAACAGTGCACAAGGGTTCCCTTTTCTCCACATCCTCACCAACACTTGCTGTCTGTTGATTATTGACGGTAGCCATTCTGACAGGTGTGAGTTGATATCTCATCCTTGTTTTAATTTGCTTCTCTCTGATGATTAGTGATATTGAGCATCTTTTCACATCACTATTGGCCTTCTGTATGTTCACTTTGGAGAAGTATCTACTCAGTCCTCGGTCCATTTTTTTCATTGGATTGTTTGTTTTCTTCGTGTTGAGTTGTAGAAGTTCTTTATATATTTTGGAAATTAACCCCTTATCAGATGTATAATTCATTCTTTGAAGTCAGTTAGAAAATTAGTGGGGCAGGGCACTAAAGAGTACCTCAGGAGCCTGACAGAGATAATATACAACTGCAGTGTGTTCATTATTCCAGGATGTAATTTACTCTTTCGGCACACGCTCCTTCCCTCTTTGCCTGCCTCAGCTCATTGGAGTTTGGGAACAACCAACTCTGCTTCACTTTCCATTCAATTTCTTTCTAAAGGCATACAATGTTAAAACTTCAAATCCGAGCGGGTTTGATCACACTGAGCACTAATATGCCCTCTCACAAGTATTTAAAATAATTATACATGTTTTTTGGGGGGAAAGGGGCAATTTGGCTAAAAGGGGTACAGGTGAAATAAAAGAACTTAATGAAGATAATAAAATTCAATCCCAATGCCCACATGACAACATAATAACAGATATTTGTAGCGCAATACAAAAATTAACAAAATTCAAGGCTCCACCTTAAAGATTTGAACCTTGATTTATTTGGGGCCTTATGCTGTAGGAACTCGGATGGGCCAAGTTGCTGGGTCAGGGTTTCCAGGCAATGCGTTTAGAGCTAACACATTTTCTGGTTTGTGTTACCTTGACTTGGCAAATGATATCTGGCAAAAAACCTCTAGTATTTGAACAAACTTTACCCCTGAGTCTGGTAAGAAACTGTTATTTGAATTCTATATTATATTCACATAATTCACATCTTAGTCACAATCATTCACCGACAGTGTATTTACTAGGTAAGTGGTTTTTGTTTGCACAATTTGGTGAAAAACTGCATGTATCCTTTCCAAATATTCTTTTTTATAAATATGTTTTTATTGATTTCAGAGAGAGAAAGGGAGAGAGAGAGATAGAAACACCAATGATGAGAGAGAATCACCCATTGGCTGTCTCCTGCACTTCCCCCATTGAGGATTGAGCCAGAAACCTGGGCATGGGCCCTGACTGGGAATCAAATCATGACTTCCTGGTTCATGGGTCAACACTCAACCCCTAAGCCATACAAGCTGGACACTTTCTAGATATTCTGTGATAAGACACCTGCACTGAATTATTTGAGTGATCGTAGGGGAAATTTTTCGGATTTCTTTCCTGCATGTGAGTGTGTGTGAGAAGTTGTGTTCAAATATTTTCTTATTCCTCAACCTGCCTTTCCAGCACTGGTTCTTCACTGGCGTTACAACCAAAGAATTCAAGGAGGAGCGTAGCATCCCCTACAACGTCTCCAAGGAGATCAGATTCAAAGAGTCTGGGACTCTAACAAAATCCACTACCTGGAAACTTTCATTTTTAGTTTCATATTATTTACACGGATGAACATGAGCTCATGCTACCACTGGAACAGAAGGTTTATGTAAAAAGTGAGAGTAAGTCTCTCAATCTGATAGCTCAAAGTTTGGAGGGTGATATAATGTGAACTCTCGCGTTTTAGAAAGAGTGGCATGTTGGAAAGCGGAAGGTGTGCTCATGAAGCCGCATTGCGAGGCTGCTTCTAGCTGGGGTGGGGTTGTCGTCCTGAGTTCTACAGCTATGTCGCTCTCCAGTGTGTGGGCCTCCCGGCATCATGATCACACGGAACAGATTTCTGTGTTTGTTTTTACCCAAAGTAGTAACTAATTAAAGGTTTAAAAAATGCAAAAACTGAAAACATGGAACATTTCCCATTTACATGGCACAATTGATGATTGAAGACTCACATTCCATTCCATTATAATCAGCAAGTCCAGAGTCAACTTTTTATAAAGTTTACAGTGAAAAAATGGCAGTGGGAAAAGAAGGTACAGAATGCATCTGTGATGGAGAAAGTATGGTGGAGGAGAAGAAATACAACAATAATTTACAGATTATTAAAAAATGGATAACAGTACTCTTTAAATGTGGTAAAGTGCTTTTTCAGGATCTAAGGATATAGTAACAACCACCATTTCAATTTTAGGTAAAATTCTAACAAGCTGGCATTAAATGGCACATCTATGGAAAATGTAATGAGAATTTTGCCCTTACCATCTGTTTTCTTTGAGTCATTTCCGACACTGGATTGATCCTTCTTGTCAGCCTTATTTTTACCATCTTTCAAGTCACCTGCAAGTAATAAACATAACACAAATAGAATATGTAGACGCCTAAGGAGGAAGTTAGAAATAACTTTAAACCTGTCAAGGTTAAAAAAAGAGAAGGTACAGTATAATTATAGTCACGAGGGGGTACATGTCGGAGGTAAACATCCTTTAGACCACAGAGTAGGTCCTGGATATTGGTTTATGATCTGCAAATTAAGATTAAAGTTTCTGCCCAGCCAGTGTTGCTCAGTGGGCATCGACCCAGAAACCAAGAGGTCACTGGTCGATTCTGGGTCAGGGAATATGCCCGGGTTGTGGAGCAGGCAGGAGGCAATTGATTGATGATGTTTCTCTCTGTCCCTCTTCCTTCCCCTCTCTTTCTCTCTCTCTCTCTCTCTCTCTCTCTCTCTCTCTCTCTCTCTCTATATATATATATATATATATATATATATATATATATATATGTATTTTTTTAATTGAAAGTTCCTGTTTAACAGGGTTGTACTTAAGGCAATGGTGTTTATCCTCGAGAAAGGCAGTTCAACTTTATAGTTAGGCTGTGGAGTGAGGAACAGCCTGGGTTAAATGTAAGTGATGTCAATGAATAGCTTTTTAACCTTTATGTGCTTCCGTGTCCTTATCTGTGAAACGGGAATATTAATACCTATTTTATAGGCATAATGCATGGACAAATGCATTTCAAGTGCTGAATGTGGTATCTGACACATCATTCAATGACAATTGTTATTATTCTAGAACAGAGCTATAAATAGCATTCTAATTAAGGAGCTTGTCGAAATGTAATTGGCAAAAGTTAAAAAACACTAGCACGCAAATGTAGAATGAAAACGTCAAAACACATTTAAATTTATGAGGGAATGAGGGAGATAGTAAGGATGGTTCCAGAAGTATTTCAGGAACTGGATATTTATAGGTATTTGTAAAATGTGTTAAAATAAGATTGCTAGGTTAGAGACAAAACTGACTGTGTCCTACAAGGCAATAATACCATAACCTTTGGGGTCATCTCCTCTACCAGTCAAAAATCTAACTTCACAGGCCTGGGCTTGAATCAAATAGTAAATGACAAAGTCAACAAAGTCACCTAGAGGAGGGGTCAGCAAATGATGGCCCCTGAGCATGTCTAGCCTGCTATCTGCCTTTGTAAGTAAAGTTTTATTGGAACATGGCCACACCTTCTTTTACATATTTCAGGGCTGCTTCCTTGCTGCACTGGCAGAGTTGAATAGTTGCATCAGAGATGCACAAAGCCAGCACTGTTTACTATCCAGCCTTCAGAGAGAGAGGCTGCTGGCACCTAAGAGAAGGTACCTCACCCCCACTCCACCCCCACCTCCCCACCCCACCCCACAGTCTGTTCAACAATATGCCAGTGATACACTGAAAAACCATGGCATCCCTCCCCCCAGCGCTATTCTCAAGTGTTGGATACTTTACTTAGCAGTTTCTAATAGGAGCTTTCTTTTCAGCCTGTGTAAAACCAAGAATGCATTACCACTAACATCCTGGTGCTTACTGAAGCAAAAGGACCCTAATAATAATGCAACCAGGAAGGAGTAAGCCGGGCCCAAGGAATATTGACCTTTTTTGTTTTCTTTGTGCCGGGCAGTGTGCACCACTTCATTAAATTCTTATAACAACCCATTATGAAGGTGCTGTTATTGCCAGGAGACAAATTCATCCGTGTTCAATTCACTAAGTGATCCATCTGCTGAACAACTCACTCACCCAATGACTGAGGAGGTTTTCCCAGTTAGAGTTTTTCCTTCACTGCAGCCAACTGTCTCCACATTGGTCAGTCCTGGGCTTCATCCATTCACCCGGCCCCACCTCTGCCCCTGACCTTGCATGTGGGTCTCCCTCTGAAACTGCCCATCTTGTCTACCATAGACCTGGTTTAAGCCATTTGCCTGACAGTTTTTGAACAAATGGTCAATTGATTTTTCTACAAAGAGATTTTGCTTAAATCGACCTGTAAAGAATTGATGTGAAACCCCTATCATCTCCATGTTATGCCACAAATAAAGTAACTTACCACAATATACACAGATGAGTCTGATTGTAGAGGCCAGCCTCTCAACTACTATATTTTGGGACCTTCGTAGAAAGCTCAAGTTTTAGACTTCGAGCTTCTATTGATGGTACCATTTCTAAATGCCTTTGACCTTCAGACTGATAAATGGCTATTTAAGAAGAATTCAAGACCATTTTTGACTGTGATGTCTTTTACAAAGTAAGTACTAGTACTTTTACTGAAATGTGACAAATCCTAAGCTATGTTAGAAGTCAATAAACTCTCCAAATTTCCTCATTCTTAATTCTGAAATAGGTTGTACTGGCTGGAGGGATGGAGGGGAAGGGCAGCCACAAGCAGGAGGAGTGTAAGTAAAGGATGTGGTCGTCACCTTCTACCATCACCTATGGTCAAAACATGAATTCCTTTGGAGGTGCCATGAAACAGTTCATATACTGGCTCATCCCTGTTTTAAGGATGGCAGAGATGAACTCAAGGATCTTCAGCCTTGTAGTCACACTAAGTGCCTATAGAAAAAAGGCTTCTCTTTACTCACTGAGCCTTCACACCCCTATACTGAGCCTTTCAGGTCTCCCTGGACCAGAGCTTTTCCCACAGATGCAGCAAGACCAGGATGCCTTCCAGAACCAGCAGGAGCAGTTTGATTTGCCAGATGCTAGCCAGCAGCCCATGGCAGCCTGCCTTCTCGGTCAGGGCTGGGGAGGCTGAGGGGGGAGTGCCTGAATGGAGACCAACGCTTAGCAGATCCTGTAATTGCTGCTAGGGACCCAAACCCCCAGAACCCCACTCGTCCAGGGTCCTTCAGCTCTTACCCGGAAATACTTCGGGTGGCCACAAGGCAGGGCGCAGGGAAAGTGACTCTCACTTGTTTGATGATGTTCCTCAACGAAACCCATTAGGTAATTTCCCACGGGTTGTGTATGGAGTAATGGCTGCTGTGAGCTGTTACCCAATGAGCAGGCGGAATATAAATCATTTTAATTAGGCTGCTGCAACTCAGTCCCGAACCACCATTAGCCTTTCTGATTATCGCTCTAAATTGATTTCTTTTCCCACCTCTCATTTCATACTTAGATTTTAAGGGAAATGGTAGACAACTGCTTACTTTGGGAAATCAACACAGTTGTGAAATTCACCCAGGCTCGCTGGAGACTCAGGCTCCTGCTCTGCTTCTCCCAGGCTCCCCTGGCCACCACGGAGCATTTACTGCCACCTCTGCCCGCTCTTGGCATTTGTTGGTCCCTCTCCCCCAGAACGCACAACCCTCCTGGTGTCCAGCCCACTTGTGCTCATTCGCTTCTCTCCCTGACCAGACCAGGGGTTGGCCAACCATGGCCCGCGGGCCAAACCTGCCCTGGTTTCATATGGCCCACAGACTGAGAATGGTTTTTACATGTTTTAAATGGTTAAGGTGGAAAAAGAAGAATATTTCATGACGTGGGAAAACTATATAAAATTCAAATTTCCGCTTTGATAAATAACGTTGTATGGGAACACAGCCACGCTCACCTGCTTACATGTTACCTTTGCTGCTTTCACCCTGAAACAACAGCACTGAGCAGCTGCGATGGAGCCCGCATGGCCTGCAAAGCCCCAAATATTTACTTTCTGGTCCTTTACAGAGGGGTGTGTTAGCCCTGCAGTAAACAGACTACAGGGTGTTCGTGGACCGCGGCTGAGTCCCAATCTTGCCCATCTTGTCTACCATAGACCTGGTTTAAGCCATTCAAGTTCTCCTATTTCTTCCTCCCCCCAACAGCACCAACCTGCTGACCGTGGATTACAGAATTTGGCCTCACATAGACCTGCACTTACTACCTCGGGGGTGCTTGACCTAAAGCCAGTGATCTCACCTCTCTCAACCTCGGTTTCCTCGCCTGCAAAATGGGGATGAGTGTAGGCCCCACGCAGCGTTGTTAGGATTTTTAAATGGTTTTGTGAACGTGAAATCTCACCAACAATGTCCAGCACACGGTAAGCATTCATTAAATGTCAGTGACACTATCACTCACCCCAGGAAGAGCCTTTCCCCAGGGTGATGCCACTCACCGTTCTGCTGCTTTCCTCCTGGCGACTTCTCTTTGGCGTTTTTCCCACGAGCGTTGTCGCTCCTGTTGGGGCGCGTTCCATTGACTTGGTTCTGAGCTTCCCCGGGTGTCTTTTTGTCCGCCTTGCCGGCTGCGCCTTCTGCCTGGCCTTTGGCTTCCATTTCCTTTTGCTTCTCCTCTGCGGCCAGGCGGGCCTTCTCCTCGGCTTCCTTCTTGGCCTTCTCCTCTGTGTCCACGGCAAGGTGGGCAAGGCGTTGAAAAGAGAGAGAGGTCACGCCATTAGGAGAACTGCCTCTTTGCACAAAACCTGTCATGAGCACTGGTAACAATACACTGAAATGACCTAAGGTGCTACTGAGTGTTTTGGGTTTGGGTTTATTTTCAGTTAATTCAAGTCAGATTGGCATGGATATTCAGGAAATAGATAAAATCAGGTCATGGTTATGCCATTTCTGAAATCAGTGGATTAGAAAAAGAGACAGGGGGAAAGTAATCATAATAATTAATAAACCAATATTATAATTGGCATTACTAATAGTAGTATTATCATCAATAACTTCTTGTCAGTGTATCCCGTATGCCAGATTTGACGCTAAATGCTTTCCAAGGATCATTTCCTTTCATTCTCAAAACAACCTCAGGTGGTAGCTACCATCATTGTAATGCTACTTTACAATGTGGAACTAAGGCTCAGAGGCCACAAAATCTCCCACGGTCACAGGAAAAAATGGAGTTTCATGTAGGTTTGCTCAGGACCTGAAGTTTAAACATAAGCAAGCGATTATAAAGTAAAAAGTCACCACCACTAGAATAATACAGTTTCAGGTCACTGTTTGTAAAGTTAAAAGTAGGAAGAAGATAATTAAGTCTTCAAAAACATGTCTGCAAACTGTCCACAGATGAGAGGTGGTGCTTAGTTTGGCCAGGTGTCCTTATCTGTGTCTCCCCTTTAACTGAGAGGGTGTCAGCCTGCTTCCCAATTCGGTTGACTGAGAAAGGGTCTGGCTCTGTACTTAAACAAAAATATAGCCTATGAAAACATAGGTTTACTCATTCAACTAATATTTCCTGAGCAGCTACAGTGCCAAGCACCATTTTAGGAACTGGTCACATGGCAGCAAGCAGACTTACAGAGTAGAGAGGACCATTACCAAGTAAGCAAACCACTAAGAGAATTTCAGATGGCAAAAAGGGCTTTGCAAAAAATGTCAAGCATAGTAAGTAATGTGATAGAACATGACCAGCAAAAGGGTGAAGAAGCTGGCATTTGACGAAATATGGAATGATGAGTTGCTGGCCATGCGATAATCAGGGAAAATGGCATTCCAGGCTGAGGAAATAAAAAAGTAAGGCCATGGAGTAGGAATGAGTTTGCTCTGTTCGAGGGGCACTGAGTTAGCCAGTATGGCTAAAGCCCATTTAGAGAAGGGTTAGTGACAGATGATATGGTCAAATGACCAAGGACATGAGACCAAGGACAATGAGGAGTTGGAGGCCGCCAAGTGGAGCTGGGTTGTAGGAAATAACATACATGGAAGGCACCTAGCAGAGACCATTCCTCCCTAAAGGCCTGGAGACTTAGCATTTCATTCACACACAAGGCCTTTCTGACTGTGCCATCAGCCTCCATTATGAAGAACCTTACTGATTTTTTCCCCTCTAGATGTGCTAACCGTGTCCTACACCTTATCGTCAGGGGTCCTCTCCATTTCCCTGGGTTAGTCTTGGTCCCGACAAAAGCTGACTTTCATGGACAACAGGTTTACTTTTAATCTAATGGGCACCAGAGTGGTGGGTTATGTGTGTGATTACATTTCCCTTTGTTTTAGCTGCTAAAGGGCACAAATCCAAAATTTGGTGCCAGTGCCCATGTTCTTGGGACTTTGTGATACTGAACTTTGTGGATGTCTATAACCTCCGGCTTTATTTTTACATTATCTGCCCTTACATTTGCTTGGCTCAGATGTTCTCCTTGATACATTATGAGATGTTTATTCATCCCTTCATTGATACCCATCCACCCCACCCAAACCAATGCCCTGGCCTCACCCCAGAAAACACAAAGGAAGAGTAAGAGTGGGGTTTGTAAATGCTCTCTGGATGATTCCAATACACAATCAGGGTTAACAAGCATTGCTTTCAAGTTTAAATGATTGCCATTCAATATTTTATGACATTCTCCTCTCCTGACAGGATGTAGTTATAATTTACAATGACAAGGTAAAGTAAGGTTTCTTTACAACATAACACAATTATGTGCATCTATCGTATAATATGCCTTCTGACTTCCACAGAAAGGCACAACCAAAGAGTAAATGAGTGGCCTTGGAGAAGAAGATGGTGAGACCGCATCCTCTAGAGACTGCAGGGCGCAGGAGGCCTGCTAGAATGCTCATCCAGACTTCCTCTCGTCCTTCTGCAGTGCCCGGAGGACAAAGGTCAGACGACACTTCCATCCCTGAATTCCCAGTGCTTGGTCCAGCACCTGGCACAGAGCAGATGCTCCTGGAGCATTTGTTGACTAAACGAATGTCCACAGTGCGTGTGATTCACCCTCTCTGCCAATGAGCCTGGCTTCTACATATTCCATCATCAGCAATCCGGCCCGGCGTCAGTACAGGAGGTAGGCAAACGTAGCGTCCTGCCCCGGAAGACTTAGCCGTTTGACAAAACGTGGTTTCCTTAACCACTAACGTAGGTGAGTAAAAAGATGACTGTTCTTATGATGCAGAGAGGGAAACTGAGGCATGGGGGGAGAGGATTCATTCAAACTCGGGCTTCAGATAAAATAATTTATAATCTCCTCACAGAAGTCCCACTGAATGTGTGGCAAACTTTCTACATTTAAAACATCCCCAAGTTAAAAATAATTTTGATTAAAAACTGAAGGTGCTGATGTCCGGTTTACTACAAAACAGCATAAAAGATTATCTGAGCAATAAAAATTCATTTGACAACTGAGTCAGACCAATTTTCTATGGGAAATCCAGCAAAAACTAAAACTGGGCAGGGGGTGCATTTCAGAAACAAATCTGTTTTTGCTCAACTACAGCTGACAGCAGGCAATTAATATTTAAATTAACAAATGGCAACTCTTATGACATCATAATCAACTCCAATTTGAGCCAGCCCCACTATATGATTCCTTTCCCTGGAGCGATCATGCTCCAAGTGGGTGGCTCTGCACTGCCCTTCACCTTCTCTGCTCCCACTTCTTCCTCATATGTCTGAAATACCTGATATTAGTATGCTCAACCTCAGCCCTTAAAGTGGTACTATTCAAAATAAACACATCAAGAAGAAAAAAGAGATTAAATCAAGAGGAGATAGGCCTGTTCCACGGTAATCAGCTTCCCTTATATTTTCAGGGTGAAATTATTAATACACATAAAAATTTTCTACAATGAGAAAAAGTAGGTGAGAGCACAATCAGTCTGTATGTGCTAACAGATTGCAATGATGGCATGTGTGCACAGAATTAACTTTCCCAGGTCTTAGACTTGACATCCTTGGCACTCCCAGGCTTCTACACTAGCAGAAAGCAAGCATGCCGTTCAAAACCATCTCAGAATATCTGTGATGTGACTCCTTATGAAATGGCCAAAAGCCAGCAGCTAAAGGGTTCAAGTAGAGCAGAGGCTTTGTGATCCATAAATTACAGTCCTCCTGAGAGCTGCTTCTATCTCACACCGAATGTCCATGCAGTTTTGGAGAAATACATTATTTCTTCATTTAATTTGCCTTTCTGAATAATGATATTATAGGCCAGTTGGTTAAAACAGTATTGGGCTAGTTATCCCTTGATATAATTTTCTGAAAAGCCTACTTAACCTACTTACAAACAGAGAGAGAAAAACTACTAACTGAAAAAAATAACCAAAATAGCATATGAATTTTGAACAGTCAACTCTCAGTTGTTCACCATAACAACAGAAAAGTTCTTCTAGACATCAAAGGACTCAGGCGTGCCCACGGGTCCTTTCTAAAAGTATTGGCCAAAGAAGTGTTCCAGCTGACAGAAAAATTCAATGTTAAAAACTTAAGAATAGCCGAAACCGGTTTGGCTCAGTGGATAGAGCATCGGTCTGCGGACCGAAAGGTCCCAGGTTCGATTCCGGTCAAGGGCATGTACCTTGGTTGCAGGCATATCCCCAGTAGGAGATGTGCAGGAGGCAGCTGATCGATGTTTCTCTCTCATCGATGTTTCTAACTCTCTATCTCTCTCCATTCCTCTCTGTAAAAAATCAATAAAATATATTAAAAAAAACAATTTAAGAATAAGGAAATACATTAACCTGTTCAATAAAACTAGCAAATCTTAGTGTTTAAAAGTAATTGTTATCAAGCTAGAAATAAAACTAGATGCAAATATAAAAATAATATTAAATGATAAGTTCATTATAAATGAACAATTTACTTATAATCACCTAGATTGAAAATCTCATTTTATTTCAATAAAAATTGGTGAGTATAGAGAAAATAAGTAAAAATTCAATAAATTTCTCGGCATTTTCAAAGTAGTATCACTACATACTATTTGATATTTACATTGATAGAAACATAATTCAATAAAAAATGTAATGGTAATCTCTAGTGAAATAAAAATGGGATGTACTTTAAAAGACCATAAGTTAAAAGACCATTCTGCCAAAGTTAAAAAGCAAATGATAAACAAGTAGGGCAGAAATTGCAACATATTTTGCCAACTGAAGAATTATTATCCTTAATATATGACGAGTTATTGTGAAATAATAATAGAGTGGGAAATAGACATTCTCACTATACTTCTACTGGGAGGGAACATAAGTTAAAAAAAAAAAAAGGAAACTTTCTGAGAAAATGTTGCCAGTAGATATCAAGAGCTTTAAGCCTTTTTTTCATTTATTTTTTTCAAAAAAGTTCCACATGTAGAAACTTATCCCAGACAAATAATCAGAGTCAGCCTCAAAGGTTTTTAAACATGTATGTTCATAACAATGTTATAGACAATGATGTAGAACTGAAAACAAAATGCTCTGTAGAGGAATGATTCAACTATGGCATTACATACAACATAGCCATTCAAATCATACTTTCTAAACCTAATCAGCATCAGGATAAAATGCTTAAGATAGAAAAAGAAAAGTAAAGTACAAGATAATATTATACTATGATCCCAACTTACAGGGAATTCTTTTCTTATATACTAGTAAATGCATAATAAATCAAATAAAAAAGAATCACATCAGAATTTCAACAACAGTTATATCTGGCTAGAGAGATTGTAAGTGACTTTATATATATAAATTTATATTTCCGCATTTTAACCTAAACATGCATTATTCTTACACAGGTTTAAAAAAAGGTTTAAAAAGTATTAAATAATGAGTGGAAATTTATCAACATTGATCAGACCTGGAAATGATTATACCTATACATCTTTGTTTGGAAATAATGATTTTTCAGCTCTAAGAGCTATAAAAGGTATTGATTTAATCTTTCCTAACAACTATGGGTTCTGGCCTAGCTAGCTTTGTAAATCAGATTGGCTAATAGAATCAAGACTTTAGAGCCAGTCCCATTTCTGATCAGTTTGATAACAACACATGTTCAAGTGCCCCATGCAGGGAGCTTTCATGAAGTCAGGGTTTTCTAAAAAAGAACAATGAGCAAAACAGCCTGGGACCCTCTAATTCAAACTGACCACTAACGGAAACAAACTGGTGTTTCTTAATACCTGTCAACCAGTCAACAGCATTACTGGGAGGCTGAAAATATCCTATATAATAAAAGGCTAATATCAAATTGTCCCCTAGGGAGTTCCACTGACGGGAAGTTCGACTGCTCACTATGACGTACACTGACCACCAGGGGGCGGGGCGGAACGAAGGAAGGCCCCAGCCAGCAGCTGGCAGTTGGAGGAAGGAAGGCCCCAATTGGCTGTGATCGCTGGCCAGGCCCAGGGACCCTACCCATGCACGAATTTCGTGCACCAGGCCTCTAGTTATAAAATATTAGTTATAGGTGGCCACTTTACCACAGTCTTCTTAACTTGGCGTTCAACTTTCCTTTCCAATTTTGAAAAGTAACGGCTAGATTTACAGGCGCAAGCCACGTTCAGGCTCTGTCCCCCGTGCCTTACATTCAGGGTGTCCCCAAAAATGTATACACACACTTGTGTATACATTTAAGGCAGTGTTCATTAAAATATATTTCATTTTCAAAATTGAGCTATCAGTTGTTAAAGTGTGTATACACCATGTATCTTTTCTGTTCTTCGCAATAGCTCTGTGGTGTGTATTATCAGCCCCCAAATCAGGGGTGGGGAACCTTTTTTTCTGCCAAGGGCCATTTGGATATTTATAACATCATTCACGGGCCATAAAAAAATTATCAACTTAAAAATTAGCCTGCTCTATTTGGTCAAACATTTAATTAACTCACCCCTAATGCCTTGGCAGGGCCAGACCAAATGATGTTGAGGGCTTTACATGGCCCACGGGCCAGATGTTCCCCACCCCTGCCCCAAATGGAATTTTCTTAAAGAATCTACCTGCATTTGCCAAAGAGTACAAGGCGAGTGGGGATTCAAATTGCCCTAATCCCACTAACTGGAATTGCTTTGATGGCCAAATGATCCTCCCACAAAATATACATAACCCGGGCTCGGCCTGTCCCTTTTATCTCTGTTCCCTCTTTGTTCTTCTTCTTCTTTTTACTTATTTACTAAGCATTGTGCAGCAGTTACTGACATCAGTAAAAATATTTTGTTGCTGTTATCTGAGCTCACATCAAAGTGACTTTGATTCGATATGTTTTCATCCTAACGGTTTCAAGTCAAATACTAAGACCTGGACTAACAGTACTGGCAAACATTAAATCGTACTTAGGACAGGAGTTTCTCCATAAACACTAGAAATTAACTGCATGTGTTTATAATATTAAATCAAATTAATTTCTTTTAATAAAATAGGCTTGTCAAGTTAGGCAACTGTTCTTATTTCAGCTGAAGAAGACATAGTTACTGTATTATAATCATTATATTAGGACTTGATTTATTACTAGAACTTAAATTCTGTTCCCTATTTCTAAATACAATGCCTTCTTCCGGGCTCCAGCCCAGGCGTCCTGCAAGTCCTGGCTACCGATGCCTTCCAAATACCCCGAGCAGGATTAGGGACAAGCCCTTTCATGCTTCCAAAATAGCTTAAGCATATCTCTATCCGCATACCTAATAGATTTAAAAATTATTAGCTGTTCATGTACCTGTCCTTTTCACAGGGCCGGTTTCCCCTGGTAAAGAAGCGGCCCAATGCTCCCCCAGGTGATTCATTTCGGGAGGTAATTTTAGTAAGCCAGATGATTGCAAACAAATGACTCTGAAGCACCTCTTCCCACTGCGTGTTGTCAGGAACCGGGTTTTGAAGTGTAATGAGTGTAATTGATTATAAGTGCGTGCTTCCTTGGAGACGACGCAGTGGTGACCGTCACTGCTTCCAACGCCTGCCAACGGGGAGGATTTAAATGTCGAGGGCCTCTGAATGGACTGTGAGAGGCTATTTGTAAAATATGGAAGAGGCATGGGCTCCTTCCAGAGCTCAGGGTGCAACATTTGTCCTGAATTGATAAGGGCCCAATGGTGCCTTAAAAGTACCGTAAATATAAACCTATTGCCCCGCCTGAAATGAGCAGCCACCTGGGTAGGGTTTTGTGAGTAAGTCACAGTAGTTGTCCTTGGAATAACTCCAACTCCAAGTGAGGTCTTTTCTCTCCCTCCCTGGAAGCAGCGCCCCGATGTACAAGGAACCGAGACGGCCAGCACATGCTCAGTGCAGCCCCTCCACTCTTCTCCCTTGCTGTGTAGACACTGGGTGGGTGAAAGTATGGCATGTTGTGTTTGGGGGTGAAACCCTCCTTGCCTATAGTGAGGGTCGCTCAGGGCTGGTGGGTATGGGTGATGAGCACAAGGCCTTCATTAAACTCCCTTTCTTCCTTTGAAAGAAACGCTATAGTGATGTCCTCTCCTTCCCCCCCACCCCACCAGGAGCTTCGATGATAAGGATGTCTATTGCTCATCTCTGCACCTTTGGCACAGAACCTGGCATGACAGTCAAGGTCATGCTATAGAGAGGCCTGGAGGTCTGCGTCATCCTATCATGCATAGAGTTTTAAATGAAATGAGGATCAAAAGAGGGTGGATACTTTTTCACAAATTGGTATTATGGGGATGTAAAGTTAGCATAAGGAACAGAGTCAATAATATTGTAACCATGTATGGTGCCAGGCAGATACTAGACCTATTGAGGGATCACTTTGTAAGTTATATAAATGTCTAACCACTATGCTGTCCACCTGAACCTAATGTAAAATAATATTTAATGTCAACTGTAATTGAAAAATAAAATTTAAAAAAGGGTAAATGCTAACATTCAGCCACTTGAATCTCTATCCTGAGATTCCACTTCCTTTGCGACACCTATAAATGAGGGTGGCAAGCCTTGTGTATGAGTGGGTGCTGGGTGGTTTGGACCGACCTCCTGGAAGATTCCCCAATAGAAGGTTACCTTTGGGCACCTTGGCCCTCCACCGCTCCCGATTGATGTGTACGACCTCAGTCCAAGTGGCTTTAAAACTCTTGTACTCGACAGGGATGACGGAATTGTTGACTGGGGCGCTTCCTTCTGAGCCTGCGCTCTTGGAACCCGATCGCTTTGCATCTGCCGAACTGAGGCTGTTCAAACTGGATGGGGGGAAATCACACACAAGAAATGAATTAGGCAAGATGGATCAGAAGAGGAGGGTTCGGTGTTTGGGAAATGTATGGCCGTGAACAGGCTCAAACGAGGAGTGGTTAGCAATCATCAAGTTATTGCTGTGAAATTCCTGGGTCCTGAGGTTTGTAATTCTCATTTTCCACTTGTGACAGATGGGAAATTCCGTATTTTCAGCAGAAAAAGAAAATCAATATTTCAGCCTCCTGAGTAGCGACAGTCCCTATGTTTTGCTGTTGTTCTTGATCGGTATCCTCTTTATCAACATGACTAGAATCCCCTATGTGATCTTTCTGTCCTCGATTTTCTGCAACCAAGTAGTTTGCACTTGAACTTCAACTTGGTTCCACAGTTTATCCACCTGCTTCCTCACTGACCACTATTCCAAGTCACTCAGCCACTTAGTCCTATTTCTCCCCAGCCATGCCTCCCCCTGCAGCTGGGAGCCTCTGATCGCTGGATCCCCGAGGCCAGGGCAGGGTGATTTCCTCATGTTCCTGGGGGAAGGAGGAGAGCAGTCATGCAAGAGGCCTTTTTTTATATCAATATTACTTTACACTTTAAACATGAGATACTTCGCAAACTTAGAAAGTGCCATCCTTCTGGGTAACTTTAAAGAAAAGTATCACACACTCCCAGGCACCTAAGCAGTGACTGGCATGAATGCCAACCCACTGGATGACTCCCAAGGCTGGCTACGTAAGCAGAGTACATTTGAGCCCAGTGTCTGCAGAGCTGTGGGGCTGTGGGACTCGTGTAGGGGCCTTCACTCCTCCTTGTTTGCAGCCTTGGCTGGGTCCATCCGCCTTGAGTGTCCCTAGGGTCCCACTGTCCTAACATTCTTCTTGCCTTCCCATCTCACTGTTGGCTCCTCCTCTTGCTCTTTTCTGCTCTTTTGTCTTTTCATTCCATTTCTTTCCTTTCTCCTGCATAACAAAGCCCAAGGTTTTGCATGGACAGGAGGAGGGGTAGGAATACTACTAATAAAGGCTAAGTGTTAGCTCAATTGTAGCTGGCACTTCCTCTGTGCTGGACCTTGTTATCAGGGCTTTACAGAGATTGAACCACTCGGTTAATCCTCCCTGTAACCTCTGAGTATTAGAATCCACGTTTTTTCAGATGAGGAAACTGAGGCACCTTGCCTTTGAATGCACAGCTAATAAGTTTAGACCATGGTCACTCCCTTCCAGGCCAGCCCGGAGAGTGCAAATCGTATAACTTCAACTCCTCTGAGAAAAGGAAAAGGCAGACAACTCTCTTATAGGAAGGAGGGAGGGCAAGCATCATTCTGAAACACACCCCCATCCCTTCCAAAGGAAGAGTTCTACCCTCAGGGACAGGCCAACCTGACCCCAGCCTTCAAGCTTCTCCACTGACCTTGAACGCCGCTGTCCTGTCCCGCCTGTCTGGGAGGTCTCCTCAATTAGCGGATTCACGATCTTTTCAGTCATGTCCGTGAGCACCGTGAAGGTGGGCTCCACGATGAAATCGATAAAACCTGCGGAGAGACAGCGATGCTCCAGGGAAACTGCATTCTCGCTGGGGCCTTTCGGTACTTCCCCCGAAACTGAGGAGTGCTAGCTCTTAAACTCGCCTACACAGGAGCCCCAGATCAGATCGGGGTCTCAGTCACTTAATATATTCCTTGATTTGAATATCGTGAGTCAGCTGTTTCTCCCACAGAATTTTCCTGACTTTTTTTAGTAGATTGTTCCAATCAAGTGCTTAAAAATATGAATTCAACATTCCCAAGTGCTTAAAAATATGAATTCAACATTCCCAATGCAACAAATGACATACCCTGCCTGCCTTCAGTTTATAGGAGACATTAAATGAGCATAAACATGACCCCTAGAATACAAGGAAAGGAACCAAGGACCCCTAGAATACAAGGAAAGGAACCAAGGAGGAGCCCAAAGCAGGGCCCCAGATTTAGCCCATCAATGTATATGTGCTTAAGCCTTCCCACAGGGAAGTACAAAGAAAATCAGGCCCAAATTATGGATTGTAGAAAGATAGCAATCTTTCTACAATCCATAATTTGGGCCTGATTTTCTCTCTCAACATGTCTCTTGCTTCATTCTATTCTCTACCCACTACTCCAGCCATATGGAACTGTTTGTAATTCCCTGGTCTTCCTAGACTGTTTTAAATTTCCCTGCTTAGTATATGCTCATCCCTTGTCTGAAATGCCCTCCCAGCTCCTCCTAGCACACCTGTATTGCATAGCTCCATCTGCCTACTTATCTCTTAGGACCCCACTCAAATGTCACACAAGTCTTTCTGGGCCTAACGGCTCGCACACTGTTTTGCCCCTGATTACATGAAGTACAAAACTACCTTAACACTGTGACACTCTAATGGATTTTGTTTTCATAACATCTTGCCCACCACCAAATATTGGTTCCATGTCTTTGAGAGCAGGTACCATGTATAATTTGTCTTTGTTTTTTTAACATCTATTATAATGTCTAGCAGTGTTCTAAACCTAAAAGGGACTCAATAATATGCATTATTATGAAAAAAAATGAGTACTCAAAACACAAGTAGAAAAAAATCAAATCCTTATTGAATTTATTTTTTGAATGATTCCAGATTCTTTTCAGCTGGAGGGCACTGTGACATTTAATTTAGTGACACTGGGGCTCTCATAGCCAAGGATTTTTATAATGCACATACATTTTGGTTAGTAGCAGTGCAAGCAAAAGTTATCCTTACCACATAGAAAAGGTGCTCAAAAGTTTTAAGAAAGGGAGGAAGGAAGGGAGGAAGGAAAAAGGAAGGAAAGAAGAAGAAAGGAAGGAAGGGAGGGAAGGAGGAGGAAGGGAGGAAGGAAGGGAAGGAGGGAGAGAGGAAGGAAGGAAAGAAAAGGAAGGAAGGAAGGAAGGAAGGAAGGAAGGAAGGAAGGAAGGAAGGAAGGAAGGAAGGAAGGAAGGAAGGAAGGAATCGAGGGTGAGAGGGAGGGAGGGAGGGAGAGGATTAGAAAGCCATTCCCGGAAGCAGGGTCCTGCAGGAGTGGGGCGTCCTGCAGACATCCCTGAGGGAAGTGGCATGAGACTTCCACGGCTGCAGGAAAAATGGGCCTCCTGCCACTGACTCCTTCATCACCTTGGAAAGTTGAGGCCCCTTTTCTTTTGGCAGGGAATGATGGAGACGGTGATGTCACTGTCTACTCTTCCCATGAAACAGCCCATTTTGGGGAGAATGGTGGGGAGAGCAGCTCCATCAGCCCACCAAGCTGCAGCCAGGAGCAGAGTCCAGCAGAATGGAGCCTGGCTCCAGCCAGGGAGGCACTGGGAGCCTCTGCCCTCAAGTCCGGACACCCCTCTCAGGTCTTTCCTTCTCTCCAAAGCCTGGCAAACACGTACCTACTTGCGATTGAGCAACCATGGTCGACTTCCGGTCACACAGAGGAGAAAAAGGCAGCCCCAACTCTGCTTCTCTGTCCCCCTAGAATCACAGGAGGCCACGGTAAATTAAGAGCAGTAGGCCAAGCCACCCAGATTTCATGCAGCAACTTCAGCTGCCACGAAGGCCAGTGGCCTTTATTTTCATTATTACCATTACATTAGGTACCAAGTCCTTATGGGGCCTGCTTCTCTGCATAAGAGACACCAAGAGACCGGAGGCTGCTGGGCTCCATCCTTCCCCCCCACTGCAGAGGCGCCCACTGTGGCACAGAAGGCCTCACTGGGCACCACGGAAAGCGAAGCATCCTGTGGCCTGGGGCCAACATGGCACTCAGAGCCACCACCTGTTTTTCAATTGTCTTATGTTGACACCTGAGGCCTTTCTTGAGCCAGTGACTCCCTCCCAGCTTCCGGCAGTGTTCAAGACACAAATTCAGTCCAGCAGGTGCTGCTCAGTGGTTGAGCATCGACCTGTGAACTAGTAGGTCACAGTTTGATTCCCAGTCAGGGCACATGCTCGGGTTGTGGGCTCGATCCCCAGTGGCAGGCGTGCAGGAGGCAGCCAATCAATGATTCTCTCTCATCATTGATGTTTCTCTCTCCCTCTCTCCCTTCTCTGAAATCAATAAAAATATATTTTTTAAAGAAGAAAAATTCCAACTGGCTAATGTGAATTTCCTCTCCTTTGCCACCTAAAACCACACAAAACTGGTGTGCGTGCTTCTGGGTTCTCAGCCACAGGCCCCAGACCGTAATGAAAAGCGGACTGAGTAAGCAAAGCAGTAAATAATTGCTTGTGTTTGTAGCATTAGACAATAATAAAACGTGATTCACAGTCCCACCAAAAAGCACCGCTGTAATGAGCAGGTGCCATGGAAAGTCTAAGGAATGATGATGGTTTTTAAATCCTGAACCAGAAGCTCATCCCTTCAGTCACACACCCAAGGAAAGGGAACATGTCACCATAATAACGGTGACCACGCTGTGTTCATCCATTTTATTATGAAAGAATCTACTTGGGTTAATGGCTACTGCCTTGGGCTTGACTCTGGCCTTCCTCCCACTAGCTGTGTGATCAAAGAAAGTTTACCTTCTCTCTCTACCTTTCAGTTTTTCAATCCATAAAATTTGGAATAATAATCTCTACCTCATCGGGTGATGGTGAGGATTGAATGAGAAAATGTGTGCAAGTAAATAAAAAGAACTATAATTATTTCCCAATGGGTATCTCTAATATTTAAGTCAAAATTTGAGAAACATTCAGTAACTTTGTTACGTCAAATACACTGTGATTATAATAAATATCACCAATAAATTAATAATAAATGAAGAGTAATAACAACCTGGTTCAAAAACTAGGCCTAGTTCAAAACAATGCCTTTTCTTTCCAAGGCCGGTTATCAAAGAGAAAGAATGCTAGTTCACACACACATATCTATTGAATGGAAGGAAAAGGAATGGGGGTATGAGGAAGCTGAGCAGCGGGGTCACCATGGGTGCTGAGACATCCCAGGGTCTCAGAACAGTCCTGAAGTGGCTCAGTTCCATCTGCACCCCCCCTCCTCCCGTGTGGACATTCCTGGGAGACGATGCTCCTGTTTCCCAGGATACCTTGCTGAAAGCTGCTCTCTCTCTCTCAAGTAGCATGATAAAAATTATTTATGCATATATGCATAACCCATAGACACAGACAATAGGATAGTGAAGGCCTGGGGGGATGGGGGAGAGGTCAATGGGGAAAAAGGGGGACATAATGTAATATTTTCAACAATAAAGATTTAAGAAAAAGAAACTCCTACTGGAAAAAAAAATTATTTACTCCTGAGCTATTTCTGCTTGAGCAGTATGAACAGAAAGAATATTTATAACATACATTGTAGTTGTGCAGGTGGTTGAGTGGCATACTTCAGCTGACACAAACAAAGCCCACTCTTCTCTCTACGAAGCAGGGACACAGGTTGTTTTGCTGGTACATTTAATGGGGGTGGTTTGGAAGAAGGGGTGGTGAATACTAACCACTTGACAAGTAAGAGGTGAGCATTTTTGTTTTCAGTGTGAGAAGCTGCGTTCTTTTATAAAAAAAAATTTTGTTGAATTTATTGGGGTGACACTGGTTAATAAAAGTATAGAGCTTTCAGGTATACAATTCTATAATACATCATCTGTACATTGTATCGTGTTCACCACCCCAAGCTGAGTCTCCTTCCATCACCATTTACCCCCCTTTACCCTCTTCTACCTCCCCCATGCCCCATCCCTAGCATTGGTTTGAATTTTATTACTGAAAAAGTGCATGTTAAACAGCTTATCCCATCACCTTGCCCACACCCACATCTGCATAACACATACATCTTTGAGACTTAATTGAGCTGAGTACACTCAACTATTAAAAGCCCATTTTAAAATAGTGGTCATTGAATTCCCTTTGGAGGACAGACACATTTATGAATGAGGAAAAAATGTGTGGAAAATAATATGAAAAAATATACTTCTACAGGTAAATCCAACTTGATTGATACAATATTTTATATCTATATAACTACTGGTCTTTGTGGAATTATTTATACATTTCTTTCTTTACTATTTTCAACCCATGATAGACCAATTTTTTTATGATATATAAAATACCTAAATGACATCATTAATAAGGTACTTATATATGTTCCTGGTGTTCTTTGACTTCTAGCCTTCACAAGAAATAAATCTATTTTTCAAGACCCGTGAATATTCACAAAAATTGATTGTATGTGACAAATAAATCTCACAATAAAATCCAAACAATGAAAAAGTTCTTTGATCAAATGCTAGAAAGCAAAAGAACCTACCACTGGAAAATTATATAGACAAACACCTCTATCTGAAGCAACTTGGGTAAAAAATAAAATCTAAACTGAAATTACAGAATATTTAGGAAAGAATCATTGTGAACACGGTGCATAGCAGAACCTCTGAGATTCATGATTTAAAAAAAAAAGACAAACACCTAGCCTTGTGTGCTCTCATATTAAACAGGTAGAACACAAAGAAATGAATGAAGTACTCAACTCAGGGACTTAGCAAAAGAACAAAATAAATTCAAATTGAAGAAAAGAATTAATAAAAATGGAAACATCAAATACGGCATTATAAAATTAAAAAAATGAAACAAATAGCTAACTCCATAGAGAAGAAAGGAAAACACTAATATATGTAATGAGAAAATACTCTCAGACACAGAGGAAATTCCAAGAATTACAGGGGACATCTACAAAATATAAAAATATACAGCAATACAGCAGAAATGAACCTCAAGACTTTAACAACATGTATTTTTCAAAAAGGCAAATGTACACTTCATTAAAGTCAATATTTTATTGAAAAGCACCCTGAGGCAGTGGCTTGGATTTTGTAAAATAGGGTTATAAAACTAAAGATGTGCCCAGCCAGCATGGCTCAGTGGTTGAGCATCGACCTATGAACCAGGAGATCACAGTTTGATTCCCGGTCAGGGCACATGCCTGAGTTGTGGGCTCAATCCCCAGTGTAGGTGGGGCGTGCAGGAGGCGGCCGATCAATGATTCTCTTTCATCATTGATGTTTCTATCTCTCTTTCCCTGTCCCTTCCTCTCTGAAATCAATAAAAATATATTAAAAGAAAAAAAACTAAAGATGTAACTTATTCTTTAGCAAAGCCTAAAAGGTCTAGTATCAATACTGAGGCTATGCCCTTATTTTGAAATATAACTCAACTTCCAAATGTAATTTTTTCAAGGATTCTAAGGTCCTGTTGAGAGTTCCCATTTGAACTGTCCAATTTAAAATCTACAGCTAAGAGTAAGGCAACACTTCTCTTATGTGGGTTACTTACAATGGCTTATGACATCTAGGTTAAAATATTAAATCAATAAAAATAATTTACTGAATCATAATTACTAAAAAACCATTCTGGTGCCGTGAGCTAACATTCCATTCCCAATAGGCAAGAAATTCAATATGGCTCTTTTCACATTGCCTCTAGCAAATTTTCATTCAATTCAAGCATATGTATATGCAAACAAGGTTTCCTTTATGGGTAAAAATTTTCAAATATGTAAGTAATTTCTCATATTCACTCTCTCACAATTAAAAAAAGAAATCAATACCTCAAACTTATATGAGTTAGCTATGATCTAACTTTGGCTGCAGATCAAATACTATTAGCTATAGGGGTGTATTGCAAAAGCAGCATCAAAGAAAGCATATGATAAGGGAAGTGGATGTTTGGAGAAAATATTCTCACTCATATTAGAAAAATAGCTTCTGGAAAAATAGCTCAAAATTAGCCCTCGATTAAGGATGAATTTGCAGAGTCATTCTCGTATATGCAACAGAGCCACACCTGTACTTTTCTAGTTCCTCCCATGCCATCAGGTTCTCCTTGAGAACTATTCTGTGAGGCCAAGCAGTGACTGCAAGAGGAAACAGCCATATGCTGAATGAGGTACCTGCCACTGTATCCATATAACAATTTAGGGGTGGATGCGTATGGGTTGATATGCACCATAGACAAAATGAAGAAAATGTAGAACATTTAATGCTGGAAGGACCCTAAGAAAACATCTAGTCTAACCTTCCTTTAAGTTCCACCAACTCCTCCTACCCCCCCCAAAACAAGAAACCCAAATCACAAATAAGACCATTGAGAACTAGAGGAATAATTTGGTTAGTCCCAGGCCACAAACCAGTTGGAATAAAAAAAAACTCCAATAAAAGGCCTTCTGGACTTTAATATGCTGTTAGCTCTAGTCCCACTTCATTTCCAGATATTGTGCACAAGTTCAGAAGAAGAACAACCCTTAGATGCCTTCTACAATTTCTCCATTTAAACTAGAAGCATAAGAATAAGAGTAATTCCCTTCCAAACATCTGAGTAACCAGTAAAAGAGCATATCTCTTGTTACTTTAGGAGACAAAGTTGAGACCAGTGTTAAGTAATATTTTGTGGAATATCAGCTGCCTCTGAATCTATGATGTGAATCTCCCTTCTTGAATTGGTAAGAATTAACTAAATTAACAGCATTAACTTGAATTAACTCTAATTTAGTTCCCACAATCTACATGACATACTGCCTTTGTGAAAAAAAGAATGGGTACTATAATAAATCTAACTGAGAGTGACCTCACAAGGTGATCTGATCATAAATTCCTAACTGGACAGGTCATGGTGGACAGTCACACCCCAGGCATGTAACTTCTTTAGCAAAAGGTTTATCTTTGCCTGAAGCAAGCCCTGTCCATTGTTTCTGTGCATCTAGGTTAACACCTCTTTTCACACTCCTCAGAAGCATAACCACCCTCAAGAGAGCACATAACCTTGTTAACTATCCTGTAATTCCAATCCTCGCCTTGCTTTCTCCCACCTTCATGTAACCTTCCTTACATTCCCTTCTTAATTCCAAGTGTATAAAGGAAACTGCAAAACTGCCATTCTCCAGAGCATTGGAGATTTTGCTCTTGGCAATGGTTGTCAGTTTGACTTAGAGATCTGAACGTTTCTCACATCAACACCTTCAACCTCAGGACCTCACATCTCAAAGCAGATGTTTGTTTTAATGGCAACTCTTCTTGAGAAGATATCAGTCTTTTTTAAAAAAATATTTTTTACTGATTTCAGAGAGGAAGGAAGAGAGAGATAGAAACATCAATGATGAGAGAGAATCATTGATCGGCTGCCTCCTGCACACCCCACATTAGGGATTGAGCCCACAATCCGGGCATGTGCCCCGACTGGGAATCGAACTGTGACCTACTGGTTCATAGGTTGACACTCAACCACTGAGCCACGCTGGCCAGGCGAGAAGACATCAATCTCAGTACAACACATTTATTTTCCTTTCTATCCTTCTACTTTTGTGCACCTTTAAAAACATTTTTTAAAGCAATGTACACCCATAAATATAATTTAAACAGTGGCTTCTAGTGATTTCCTGACCCCAAATTACCACACCGGGCTTTGGAATTTGACAATGTGGTTTGCCAGCTCAAAAGAAACAACCCAACCAATTATAACAGTAAAAGATTAACATCTTAATCCCACAGGAGAATGCCAAACTGGTCAACATTTGGTCGACCCATTAGAAAAATACATAAACCAAAGGGCTCCTCTGATGACATTTTTACAAAACACTGCCACAAGAAACTGCTTTTTCTCTTTTCAAGTAGAAATGGATAGGACAGAAATACCATAATGTTTTGAGAGTCAGAATATAAGTAAGATTCAAATATCACATGACCAGGAGGCAAAAAAAAAAAATCTGCAAACTCTGCCTCCTCAAGAAAATTACTGTGATCTCATAGCATTGCTGAAATTTGAAATTCAGAAACTATCCGGTGATGCAAGCCCTGAGGGGTAGCACAAGGTACCTGTCTGAAGAATTCCTCCAGCAGTGACATCGTCCAGCGATGATGGAGCTCCCACGCCTTCGCAGGGTGGCTAATGTCTGCCGTGTGCAGCATCAGGGATAATGCTTTCGGCTTTTCAATCCTGTAAACCCAAAGGAACCAAGCACATGCTGATCAAGCTCTCAGAACCTTAATAAGAGTTTCTTTAAAAAGCATTAATTTTTTAATCTCTCCCGTTCTCTTGTGTCAAGCCCCACTTCGGCTGAACTGAGGGGAAAGCATCGCATCATCCTACAACTGGAATATCCACCAGCTAGGTCTCCGTGTGTGTTGAGCTGGACACTTCAAAAACGGACTCAAAATGATTTCTGCAATGACTGGCTCATTCAAAAAGACAAAACTCCAAGAGTCACTCACTGACTTGTGTGTGTCACCTCTGCATTGAGTAGATCTTTGATAATTTGGTTTCCTGCAGGAAAATATTTTCAATTCTAACTGGGACAAATTATTATGGCCCCTTTTCTATAGTTCAACCCTGATGAGAATCTGTGATATATGCAATTCTCATGCTTTTTCCTCCGAACATCCCCAGTTACTATGAGACTTTTCGACAAAGTTCTCTGAAGGAGGTACACTTTAAAGAAGCAACGACATGGGCCAGTTCCAGCTCAAACACCTATAAAAAACACAAGTGACACAGACACACTCACGCTTCCGGCTGCTGCAGAGCAGTTTTCATCGCCTTGATCTGTTGGAAATGACAGGACATATCCGTGGCCATCACCATCTCAATTACCAAGGTCCGAAATTCCCTTTCAGGGACACCCCATGGAGGAAAAAAAGGTGAAAGTCAAAAATGGAAAGTAAAAATTAGTTTATTTTTTGCCACTTCCCATCCAAATCTGTTAATTAGTTGGGACATCTGTAATCTAACTTGAGCCTGAAACTGTCTCACAGGTCCCTAAGCTACTCCTGTCTCCTAATCTTCAAACTGGATAATATTGATTGATGTTTTCAAGTTCACTGATTCTTTCCTCTGTCTTCTCCAACTTGCTACTAAGTGAGTATAGTAATTTTTCAATTTAAATATTTAATTTGTCAGTTCTAAAATGTGTTTGCTCTGGTTTATTTTTTCATTCCACTGGTTAAATTTTACTGTACTTTATTACAAGCATATTTCCCTTTACCTCACAGCATAAATATAAGAACTGCTTTAAAAGTCCTACTCTGATCATTCCAACAATAGTTCATCTGAGAGACTGCATCTATTGATTGTCTTTTCCCCTGCAAATAAGTCACATTTTCCTGTTCTTTGCATGCCATTTAGATGGTCACAGAATTTGAGTTTCCCCTTATTTTTTGGCTCTCTCTTTTCTGGGGTTTTAACTCACTAGATAGCAGCTCTAGTTGTTCCTACCCTAGTCTCTCTAGCCAGAAACGCAGTAAAGGTCTTTGTATAAATATGGTTTTAGCCAACTAGTGCTGTTGCCTTGACACAGACTGTCTTCAGAGTGAAGTCACAAAAATGTCACATTCACTTCATCCTGTCACAGTCTCCAGATATTGATACCCCTTCAAAACGTTCCTAAGTTTGTGCACTCTCAAGTCAGTGGGGTTATGTTTGTTTGTTTGTATTTGATCATAGTTTATAGCCGTTGTGTGCAGGAGGACTGGCTTATTAGCAGATTATCCGGTCTGCTGAAAGTGGAATGCCATGTTATTCCACTTTGAAATGCAGTAAATAAATGGTAACATGTTCATCTACAAAGATCCTAAAAGGTCAAATGCACTTATGTATCCAAACAAATCTATCAGATATTAAACTTGCTTTTCTACAAAGAAACAGGAGACTAAGTGTAAGTTATCTTTGGGTTAATGAATCTCTTCAAAGCAGCATACTAGTACATCTCTCCTCACCGTTCCTTTCCTGGCCTCCCCGTCTCATCCTTACCTCCAGTCATCCTTGGAGAGGTTGATCAAAATATTCATTTCCTCATCCTCTTGCAGAAGGCGATAAACTGCACTTAAGTGATGATTTTCCAATACAGACTTGTCGTTGTACAGAATAGCTGGGTCGGACCTGAACAGAAAGCCAAAAAATAATCCGGTACGTTAAACAGTTGAGACTTTTCAGGTTAACTCTTTCAAGCTAGAATACACCATCTCTTTTCCCTGTGTTTAGCAATTACCTTCGTCCCGATGCCATTTATGTCAACAAAAAAAGCTAAAACTAACACTGTAAATGATCAATTGATATACATAGGGTATTTTAATGTCAATATGTGGATGTAAAATAGGTGCCACCCAATCTGAGAACTCTCTGAAAACTGTTCATAAGCAGACCTCCATGATTTTTGCTGGTGGCAGCAAAGATAATTTTTTTAAATGTGGGTCAAGTCAAACTTCCTTATATTTTCTAGAACAACTTTAATGTTTTTATTAATTAAAAGAATTTATTTTATCTCCAATTCTCTGAACACATACCACCTGGCAGGTACAGCTTGCAAGTTCCTCTGGTAGTAGCTTTATCTTAAAATTGCTTATTTTTTGTTAATCCTCACCAGAGTATATTTTTCCATTGATTTTTAGAGAGTGGATGGAGGGGGAAAGAGAGAGAGAGAAACATTGATGTGAGAGAGACACATCGACTGGTTGCCTCCTGCACATGCCCCAACAGGGGCAAGAGATCGAACCTGCAACTGAGGTACATGTCCTTGACCGGAATCGAACCTGGGACCCTTCGGTCCGTGGGCCCATGCTCTATCCACTGAGTCAAACCAGCCAGGGCTGATCTTAAATGTTACAATGCAGAAGCCATACATAGAAAACAGAGTGAAGAATATAAGGATTATATGACAACTGTTAGTCACTTTTTCAAAGACCATTCCACAATTGAATGACAGCAAACACAGAGCTGTATACTATTTCTATATCCTTAATTTAATGAAATCTGAGATTATTACAGCCTATTGGTTTCTCATCAAGGAAGCTGAGTCCCAGAGATGTAAAGTGACTCCACAGAGCCCCAAAGTGGCTAAGAGTCAGGGTTGGGATGAAGGCAAGATCTCTGACAGTAGGGCCATTGTCCCCCAAGATAACTTCCACCTGTCATTAGCCAAACTTTGAAATATACCCAGCACACCTTTAAAGTGTTAGACCTAACATACCATCCAAGGACAAAGGACCTGGTCACAGACTTGGTTTTCAGAACAGGGGGCACACAGGCTGGGATGCTTTTAATAAAGTTCTGTTAGAGAAGGCCAATGTCCACACTTCACTCCAAACCACGCTTAACTGAGCCCACTGGAGTTTTCCCACTCCTATGAAGATACAGCACAAAACATGCAAATCCTGAGGTGAGCCATCTGATCTGGTGCCTGCTAGGTAAGGAAGGCACTAACTGATGTGTGTTTTATGACATTAAGCTATTTCCCGACTCCTGAAATTAATCTCCCTCTGCGTTGTAACGCATTTTGACATTGGCCTCCAGCCATGATCCAGGTACGGTTCTTCCATCCACCTCTCTCCCTTTGGCAGGTGCTACTCTCTGTCCTCAGAGCAAAGTTTCCATTAAACTGCTCTGTGGAATTCCCTGTGTTTAAAGACCTTGCAACGGGACCATGAAGACTGTTTCGCAGCAGCTGAGACTGCTCTACATGAGGAGGAAGGAGGCAGAAAATGAAGCGAACGGCTTAAGTCCTTTTGTCCGCTTCCGTTCTATTGAACACAGATCGGAGGATACTGCTGTCCTTTGTGTGCCCCACAATTAAGTGTCGGGTTCATTAAATACATGTGGATGGATTTATGGACACAAACCGATCTGAACTGTGCACCTGCTCGTTCAGTGAAATCAGCAGGTATTTATTGGTGTTAAACTCGCCCCTCCCCCGTCTTTTTTCTCTTTGTCTTGTCACCTTTCCCCAAATTCTAGCTTCTTTTTTGCTGTTGTTAATCCTTGCTTGAGGATATTTTTCCATTGATTTTTTTTTTAGGGAGTGTGGGGGAGGGAAGAGACAGAAGAGAGAGAAACATCGATCTGAGAGAGACACATTGATTGGTTGCCTCCCACATGAGCCCCAACCAGGGCCAGGGATAGAGCCTGCAAACAAGATATGTGCCCTTGACCGGAATTCAACCCAGGACCCTTCAGTCCGAGGGCCAACCCTCTATTCACTGAGCCAAACCAGCTAGGGCCTCGCTTCTTTCGATTCCTATATCAAGGCCCAGTTAACCCTAGTGTCAGATTCTCTCTATTTCTGCATCTTTGTCTTAAGAGAAGGTAAGTTCTGAGTCCAGGAGAGGGCAAATAAGGTTTCATTCTAAATGCTAATGACAATTGATGGTCCAGCTGCCTGGGATTCTGTACTGAGAGGACTACAAAGGATAAGTCCGTAGCTAGTAAGAAAAAAATACCCAAATTGATTAGTGATGTCTGTGTCAGTCTACAGGTTCAGTGTCGGGCACTTAGACCCGTATTTAATATCCCCGCAGAGCTTTGTTAGGGAGGGTGCAGAAGTTGCCCATGGTGAATGGCCTGCATGAGACATTCACATGGGCAACTTGGTGGTCCTAGCTCCCCACGCCTATGCCGCTGAGCAGAGCAGAGATGGAATTAGGGAGACTGGGATGAGCACCACCAGAATCCCAGAGATTAGAGGGTGAGAAGGCTCAGTTATCGTTCACGTCAACAAAGACACTCTAGTCCTTGCCCGTCCCCACTGATTTAGTCCACATGGCATCTGTGCCTTTCTGCACATTGCTCCAGCTCCTATTAAAAATAGGTAACAAGGAGCTAGCATTAGAAGAGAGATGCATATTAGATGTGAATAAAATACGAGAATTAGGAGATGACTTTACACTCTAAGTCTTGATCGAAACTCACCCAGCTGGTCTCTTGTTTAAAATTCATTTTTCCAGCCCAGCCAGTGGGTGTGGCTCAGTGGTTAGCATCGACCTATGAACCAGGAGGTCATGGTTCAATTCCCCATCAGGGCACATGCCTAGGTTGTAGGCTCAATCCCCAATATGGGGGGTGCAGGAAGCAGCCAATCAGTGATTCTCTCTCATTATTGGTATTTCCATCTCTCTCTCTCCTTTTTCCTCTCTGAAATCAATAAAAATATATTTTAAATTTTTTTAAATTCATTTTTCCAGAAACTCAAAATAGAGCAACCATATAAAAGAAAGGTGACTGATTCCTTGCTGGCTTAAAAACCCTCTCCCTGGCCCCTCTTGCCTCTCCTGCACATATTTCAACGTCCTCACCGGGTCTGGATGTGGAAGTTGTTGGTGGTTCCCGTGTGCTCGTAGTCATGGATGGCAGCTGAGAAGATGATAGCAAAAATCTCCAGCTCCGTCAGCCAGTTCTGAAAGGGAGATTACAGAGCAATCAGATAATGTGCCTCTGACTTCAGCTTACTGACAACACACCCACATTACTGTCTTTCCACCCTGCAGCTGGTCAGCTCTTGCCAGACACATGTTTTTGGAAAGACAGAAATGGTGTTTTTCTTCTGTAAAGAGATGAGGGGACATGTGATTTGAAAACAGCATGCCTGCCCTGGCCGGTGTGGCTCAGTTGGTTGAGTGTCATCCCATGCACCAAAAGGTCACCAGTTCTATTTCAAGTCAGGGCACATGCCCAGGTTGTGGACTTGATCCCCAGGAGGGGGGTGTGCAGGAGGCAGAAAACAATGAACATGCAGACATTCAAAGCCCTCATCACATTCTCTATCAAATTCCAAAGTTCCAAAGTAGATGCAGAAAAAAATTAAAAATTTCAATATGATACCAAGCTGTAAGTGTAACAGAACACCTAATGTCTGCCCACTCGAAGGTGGACAGGTAGAGAGACAGATGGAAAGGTAATGCCTGGCCTCCCACTTTATGCGTGCTAAAGTTTGAAGAGACTTGTCCCATCCACTCCACCAAAACTGGCTGTAGTTCAGTGGTCTTCAAAGTGTGTTCCCTAGACCAGCAGAGTTAGCATCACCTGTGTTTCACAAGCCACCCAGATAGTTCTGATGCAGGGCAGAGTTCGAGAAGCATTTGAAGCTCCCTTAGTGACTTCCATCTCAGAGACTCTATGGGTTCATTGATATTTCCCACCCTTTCTGTAAACCATACCAACCAATGTCCACATGACTGAATACCCACCACTGCGAGCTGCCTTTGGTACCCTCAGCTCACTTTCGTTACTAATTGAATTGATGCTTATCAGTTTCAGTGTGGCTTATTCCAAACGCTGTTTTGACCAATTGCACTGTTATAATAATTATGTAATTAAATATGACACAAGCCAGTAAAATATGAACTCAGAAATAGAGCTATATCCATAGAACCTAAGCTCAATGCGATAGACAGTCACTAAAAAATTGTCAAAATAGGTGAGAGGTCGGCAGAGTGCGGCTGGCTGGATGTTCTGGTCGAGAGCCCACGTGGCTGAAATGAAGGTGTTAGGGGGCCTGCATTCCTTTCTGAAGCTCTGTGGGAAAGTCTGCCTCCAGGGGCATTCAAGGCATTGGCAATTCATTTCCTTCTCACGCTTTCCATTGGCTCTCTCCCTCTTCCAGCTAGCACACTCTTCTGCCACCCCTGTTTACTTTTAAGGATTAATAACCTTCATTGTACCTCCAAAGTCCCCTCTGCCATCTAATGAAACATACTAACAAGTGTGACAACTCATAAGAAGTCAAAGGTCATGGGGGCCAAAATTCTGCTGACCATAAAGACTAATAAAATTACTTGGCACTCTTTAACTAGGATGCCATTTAGAAGTCTTGACCTTTCCCTTACGAATATGATGACATCATCTATGATCAAAAGAACAAGATGCACAGCTTCTCTCCTCTTAAAAAATAAGCAAAAGAAAATTAATGGCACCTTGGCCGACAAATGCAACGAAAGGGGCCAAGGGGTTGCTTTGGAGTTTGGACTCTTTTGACCTAAATCAAAAGCTGACTGGAGCCTGGGGTCTGATTCCTGTCTATGCAATCAGAAACTCTTCAATCCAATTCTGTTCAAGGGTTGTCCTTTAGAAGTGAGCAAAATAAATCTGAAAGGATCAAGTGTCTGCCAGGCATGTGAGCTAAGCAGTAATGAGTGATTTACACAGATCACACTGAGTTGATGTCGAGACCCAGGCATCGCTTTGTCAATGGGATGTTTTGGTTCCCTATGTGTCCCACACTTTATAAAACTGGAATGGTTTAAAGCATTTCCCTCCTCTTGGTTTGTAATGAAAGGTTAGAGTGGCAATGTGCTCTCCATTCATCAGATTGCTTCCCACTACTTTTGTAAGCTTGCAGTGAAAGTTTGTTTTGAGCTGCATTTCGGAGAGAGAGTGGGTGGAAAGCAGTTTCTATATTTAGGAATTATTCTGAATATGGCCTGAATTGATCATAAAAATTCAATGGCAAATAAGCGCAATTAAGAACATTATGCAGTACGTCACGATTATTGGCTGCTACGATATAACATTTACGTTAATGATAACTTGCATTAGCATAAACGCTTGGGAGTTTTTCTTGAGGGCCAAAATAAAAATCTGTGTATAATTCACCTTTATATCTCCAGAGTGCATACACAGTAGGAACTAACTAAATATATGTTGAATAGATAAGTCCAAAGTACATCTTCACATCATATTTCTGATACTTTATTCCGAACTGTCACAGCATTTCTACAAGATAGAGTATTTTTCACCATTTTAGAAATGAGGAAATCCTGACTCAGAGATTCAAGCAATTCATCATAGGTCACAGTCTAATAAGTAATTAAACAAGGATTTCTATCCAACTATATCTAGCTCTAAAGCCCACACTCCTCCCACTGTATCCCATTTTTAATTCAGTGAGAAATTAGACCAAGTCATTCAACATGGCCTTGCTGAAAAGATAATAAATGTGTACTGGGTTTATGGGCTAATGAATAACCATACCCACAGAATGTCTATCTCTGAAGAAGATTTCAAAGTAAAAGGGCATAGAGAGCAACCATAGAGAGCAACCATAGAGACCTGGCTGTTTGTGTAATCCTAGAGTTCCCATCTGTACTCACAGCGACGCCTGTCTTATAGAGGAGGTAGTGCACCGTCTGTGTGACGTCCGCAGCATGCACTAAATTGTGGTAAGGATTTTTATGCTTGCTGTATCCCACTTCCAGGGCCTCCACAAATGAGACGAGTGCTGAAATGGGGATCTGAAAAAGAGTAGTAAGTTTAATGGGCTAGTGGTTTAGTAGCTTTAAGTGAGGAAAAAAACATTACACAGGATCAGCTCAAAAACATGTAGGGAAGAAGGGTATATGTTCATTTATTCCTCAAGCAAAGGTTTGGGTCTTTTATTTCTCGAGAAATAAATGAGCGCGTACTATGCAGTGCATCTCGTTTATTTATGACAAAACATAAAGTACACCGAGATCTTAGGTCATGAAATGATTGCAAAACAAATATAAGCTGTCACCTCCAGAAAACTGTGCCCTTTAGGGAAAGTGATTGTATGTAAGGACACGTTAAAAAAAAAGACATCGTCTGTTATATATGGAAACAGAAACAACCTGTGTCCTTATGTCTGTTACTTGACAATTTATTATAGGTGCCTTGCAATGTGGAATAATATTTCCAATTAGCCTAGTTGCTTTTCTGTCTCAAATATGTATAAATACATCCCTTCTTTTTCTATGTGGCAGAAAGTGAAGGACAACTGCAAAATGTAGAAAATAAGGGCACCCTGATGACAGTCATTGTGTCGTTTTCGGGATCAATACCTTGGTTTGGGGTAAATTATCAAGTTCAGGACTGGAGGAAAAGGAAAGAGTGCATGTTCCTGGAGACTACACATCACATCAGGAAGAAAAAATGAGAACAATTCTACTGGGATGCTTTGCGAGAGCCCATAACATGTTCTTTCTGGAGCCCAGTCTTCCACGCTTCGGCTTTAAAAATTTAAACATGCCTTGCAGATGTCAAAGATCAATTTTCATTTTTGAAAAGGAAGTCCCCAGAAACCTAGATGCTTGGGGCTATTCATGAGCAGTCTGTGGCCCCTGAAATTCATGGAGCTTTGCTCTTCGGACAGTGTCTCAGGCATTCACCGGGTTTTCAAACAGGTTTCTGGTGCAAAATAAATTAAGGACCACTGCCATCAAATATTTCTGGCCATGTAAGAAATACACAGTCCTTTAGAAAGTGCCAAGGCACCGTGCTGTCCAGAGAAGTCAATATTTTTCAGAGAAAAAGGCCTGCATTTTCTAGAGGCTCATCCCTAGAATGAGGGACGTCTGAGAAACATAATACGACAGATGTCAGCCGATGAATTCGCAGGTTGCCTGGAGAACCCGGCCCGACCTCCAGACTCTGCGAGTGAGAGGCTGAAGGGATTGCACACTGGAAACGATTCATGCTCTGCACTTAAGGCGGAAGAATTCATTGGGAGCATGAATGGCCGGGCTATACCAATGACCTGTCAAGATGATTAGTGAGGGTATTTGTCTGCATTTGAGTCAAGTGATGGGAAAAAAAAGTCTGCAGAGGCAGCCGTCCTGCATTCTGTCTCCATCAGTGTCTCCCCGCTGATGGAGGAGAATTTACATGAAATCAGGCTGAAATGAGACCAGTGAGCAGAGCCACGGGGAGTTCTGCTAGTGCAAGCTTCGGGTGGTACTTCCCAGGAAGGCTGGGATCAAAACGTGTGACTCCAGCCTCTCCCTGGCCAAGGAGCCCCGCCAGGCAGGGGAGTAATGAAAAGTTCCCACCACGGAGGAGTCCGTGGCAGCGACTGTCCAGACGTTGCGTCACCAAGTCACCCTGAGAAGTTTGGGGTCTGTATTAAAAGGATTCTCTTGGCCTCAGCCCCCAAATCATGCAAGGATAGGTAAATGTGTGGTTGTTGTTTTTTCCATTAGGCACTGACCTTGAAACGGCTGATCAGATCGTAGCGTGTGAGTAATTCATAGAAAATGAATTTCAGTGCATGGTCCCGCTGGCTTCATTGAGAGAAAAGACATCAAAGGACCACCTGTCCACATCCTACAGGACCAGGCAGAGAGAAAGATGCATTAGTCCACAGCCACTTCCATAACCACCAGTTCCTCCCTGGGGAGTCGGCCTGGGATTTCACACTCACACTTTTTCCAACCTGGCAGACCTACATAGCATTTACTGATCAAATATTAAATAGTCTTATAACTAATAACAGCAGCTATAATTTATTGAGTGCCTACCATATCTAGGCATCATGACCAGTAATAAATACATAATTTATCTGGAAAACCACTCTAAGGGATAGGTTTTATTACTCACATTTTACAGATGAGAAAACTGAGAAGTGACCTCATTTCCCTAAAGCCCCATCACAAGTAAGTGCTGGGGACACACAAACACATGGTCACCCTAAGCTCGGGCTCTGTCCATTAAGCTCTTCCACTCCCTACCCCGGCTGAATTTCAAATTTTTAATTCATTGACAACAACCTTCAGTGCTTCCCTATTCTGAACTTCTCCCCAGTCCCTTGATGCCATCTGCAGACTTCCTCTTAGTCCACAGTTGAGGATATCAACCCACTTTAAAGTGTTCAGAAACACGCACGATATAGAATACAGAACAGCTCCAAACTGCTGAGCTGAATCCAAGGAGAAAGCCTTTATTTCATGGGTCAGAAAAATGTCACCACGTCTGGAGTCACTGACCAGGGGACTTGGTCCTCGAATCTGTAAGTCACCTTACTGAAAAAAGTAAAACTAAGACCTAAGCTGAACACACACCACATATACCATTTTTAAAGTTCAAAGTCTTATTTGTCTATAAATAGCTACACCAGAATATATATAAACACTGCCTGATGTGTCTTTGACTTATAACCAGCTATTTATAAACAAAGGTGTGTTTAACCAATAGGTAAAGCAACGGTCTCACTTTCTCATTATGACAGAGTCTCACTTTCAGTAGAGAAAGTGTGTGGCTGTGAGCTTGACAATAAGGACCCACATGAGGCCACGTGGAGTCCGGGCAGGGTGTCAGATGGTGCCCTGAGAAAAACCTGGGCTACTAGGAACCACTGGCCTGAGTGGCTCTCATCTCAGCCCTCACTGCATCCCAACATCACCCATCCATCCCAATCCTGTCTCTCTCCAAACGTCCCACGGTCAAGTTCATTCCAAGGTCATCAAGGGTCACTCTCGTGGATGCCAGGGCACAGAAAAACTGAATCATTTACAGGGAAAACCAAATTTTTCCAAAAGTACCTCAAACTGGATTGTTTCAATTCATATCAGTGGTAACCTCACCTCCATTTTCAATAATTTCTCCTCCACTATAATAACTAAAGAAATTGCTACAAGTATTGAGCACATTTTTTTGTACCAGGCACAGTGTAAGGTAATTTATCTACATTTGCAAATCCTCACAATTCTGGAAATAGGTGTTACTTTCCTCAGATTTACAGATGGAACCTCAGAGAGATGAAATGAAGTGTCTATTCAGTAGCAGAACCCGGTATTAACTCCTGTGACACCACCTAGCGATAGCCTTGCCGGCAGATGACATTGTAAATTCCATAAATATAAGTTGTAACCCAGGCCTCATAAACACCCCAACAGGGCCCAGACCATAGATGGTGGGGCAATTTAAGCTTAACCCAAGAACTGAACCTTCACCCTGATAACTATAATTGGCATTGCCATGACATCCATTCTCTGACAATTAGTCCTAAAGAAAAGTCCTCTGACTACTCAGTAGGTGGGACAACATTTTGTCATGTGTGACAATTTTTAATCCTATTCTCCAGAATGAATAAAAACAAGAGAAAGGCTACTCCTGGAAATAAAGAGATTATCATAGCAAGAAGCCCAATTTATTCTGAACATTAGGACTTAGAGAGATGAGAAGATGAGTAAGTAGACAGCAGGGTGGATGTCCTCTCGGGCCCTCCTTTTCAGAAGGCTTAGCCTTGATTCTCAAATTGTAATGTTCTTCAGAGCCACTGGGGGTGCTCAGGGAAAATGCTAATTTTCAGGCGGGGGACTCTGCAAAGTCTTAGTGTGGGGTGTGGAATCTGCATTTAACAAGCACCTAGTTTAACTGTTTTAAACCAATCTTCCTCTCTTACCAAACTTGGTTCAAGGACCATTCCCGTGGAGAACTGCATAGACTTCCTAACAGTCTGACTTTACGTAAAGGAAGCCCTAGCTGCCTCATTTCCTCCCACTTTAAACCTGGAGTCTCTCCAGGATGTCCCTTCTGCAGTCACACAAACAGACGCCCTTCTAAAGAACAGAACACGTCTACATTCCCAGTAACCCCACCTCAGAGGGCTCGAGAGAAAACACCCCAGATTAGAAGCTATTGAATGGGAAACATAAGAAGAACAGAAATGCCACATATTTCAAATTTAGAGATGGGCGGTGGTTAATTCTTCTATTACTTAAATGTTACTTTATGCCATGTTCTTACATTAATCACAAAGCTTAACATGACAGTAGCCCGATGGTTATTTTATGGACTTGTATTCTCTCAGTCCTTGGGGACATTTCTGTAATAGAAGAAAACAATATGATCCCATATTAACTGCTGGCAATGAAGTGAGATAACCTTTTTCTAACAGGCACAACATTTTAAAAAGCAGGAAAAAAAAGTATCAGTGTGATCTCTACAACTCACCTCTAATCCACTGCAAATAAAACAGAGTCTGGGGAAGCAGAAAAATATTACATTTTTAAAGGCCTTGAACTTCCCCAGTGAACAGGAGATAAGAACAAGAGAAAAAGCTGTTTTAGCCTTGTGCACGTATCAGCAATACTTGTGGAGAAGGATAGCAATTCAGAGAGTTAGTACTTACTTCTTGTCTGAATCATCTAGGTACCCTCCCCTCAGAAAGACATGTGTGCATTTGAGAATCGCTTTTCCCTAAGCATAAAATAACAATCGTGCACATCACAGGTTGTTCCACATTTCCTTCAGTTATTCTACATAGACAACATGCTCCAATTTGGAAGACATATTTTCATAAATTTCTTAGTGCCTGTATAATCACCTGTATTTATGTTCCCAATAAAGGAAGGAATTAAAAATAAAAGATGCTTTTAATGTTCCTAAGACTCACTCAATGTTTCAGGTTCAATTATGAAAATCAATGCATCTTCACAGTGGATGTTATGAAACATCAAATCTTATGTGAATTGATTTTACTGATTAAATGGGAAATGTCACTGTAAATCACACTGATATATTAGGCATTAAAGTGGGAGTTGAATAGGAGTGAGAGAAAACGTGTCTCCTTGCTGTATCCTTCTTGAGTATCCTTCCTATTCTTACGATAAGCTGAGAAGAGATATTTAATTGTTAAGGACAGATACTACACTTGATCTTAGCCAAAAAGCCAAGAGGCAATTCACCTGTTAGAATGGCTATTATCAACAAGACGACTTATAACAAGTGTTTGAGAGATTGTAGAGAAAAAGGAACCCTCATACACTGCTGGTGGGAATGTAAATTGGTACAGCCATTATGATATGAAGGTTCCTTAAAAATAAGAATAGAGTTACCACATGCCCCAACAATCCCTCCTCTGGGTATCTACTCAGCCACAAGAACAGATGAAATACTGCCATTTTAAACAACTTGGTTGGATAATAAGAATATCATGCTAAGTGAAATAAGTCAGTTGGGAAAAATCAAGAACCATATGATTTTACTCATATGTGGGATATAAAACTGAAAGCAACAAACAAACAAGACAAATAAACAAACAAAAACTCAAAGACAAAGACAACAGTATTGTGATTACCAGAGGGAAAAGGGAGTGGGGAAGAGAAAAATGGTTAAAGAGGGTTAAATATATGGTGATGGAAGAAGACTAGACTTTGAGTGGTGAACACACAAGGAATATACAGATGACGTAGTATAAACTGTACACTTGAAACCTATATAATTTTATGAACCAATGTCACCCCAATAAATTCAATAAAATTTAAAAGAAAAAGTTACAGAAAATGGAGAACGGAGGCAAGAGAAAATAACTATGAAATATATAATCAAAATGGCCCTAAAAGACTTTTTCTTGACGTTATGTTGATCAAGAAGCACTCCCGATTCCATGAATGGGTAATTTAAGTTATATTCTGAAAATAGCATCAGGTTTCAGAGAAAGACAAGAACAGCTTTAACCATAGTTAGAATGCTGGGACATCCCTGAGCAAGTGGCTGCAACGCCATGTCTAGATACCATGCAGTGTCAACCAGCCTAGGGATCCTGGGCCTTAGCACAGACCATCCTCAAATCCACAAGCCAAATCAGCTTCAACTCAGCTGGGATACCCTCAGACCAGTGGGTGTGAATCAGCGCACACCTAGAGGAATACATCTGCTCTGGGACTCTTAGAAAAATTCTGCGCAATTCCAAGAGCTTGTCTCCTTGGGAGTAATTCTACCGGTTTTAGACCATTTAAACTCAAACATCTGCATGACTTCAAATGGGACTTTGGGGCTCAGTGAGAGTCTAGGGAAAACAGTAGAGCATATGGAGAGGGTCAGGGCTGTGGGGCATATGCCCATGCCATTATCGATGGCTTATTGTATACCTAGAACTCTGGTATCAAACCTTAGTCCTGCCCCTAATTAACTGTCTTTTTAAAAAAAAATCTCACTGAGTCTCAGTTTATTCATCTATAAAATGGACTTAGGGTAGGAAATCATGTAATGGTATAATAATGATCACCAAAGATCCTCGTGATGATCAATATTTATAACCAGATCAAATTTGATCTTTTTTGGCCAAAGTCAAAATGAGCCCATAATGAAGTGACTCCAAGGAAGTAGAGAAATATGAAACCCACAGAGTTTGATTTAATAAAAAAAAAAATTTAGCAAGATGAAGGCTGAAAAGATAGTGATACCATTTAAACAGATAAGTAAAAGATAATAAAAGTTTTAAAAATCAGGAATGACAGGGAAATCTAAATGAACTATAAATGGAAGTCTCTTATTTCATAATTACAAGTGTAATTGTATTTTTATAGAGTATCATGTACATTGTAATACTTTTTCATTGGTATTACCTTTAATGCTTCTATAACCACTGCTGGGTAGCTCAGTCCAACCATGTTTGATGTACGTCTATACATTCTGGCAAAGTCAGAGAAGGAGAAAATGCAATATTACATCTACAAGTATTGACAAATAATGAGAAGTCATGTCATCTGGCGACCCAAGGCACCTAACATTTCTTTTGTAATCTTTTTCATAGTCACTCAAGTGGCCTAAGTGTAAAATTCAAAAGAAATTAACATAATCCCAAACATATGAACTGTTGGAAACAAAAAAGAATGAATCTGTGTGGCTCAAGTTGGAAATTATATGATTAAAATTCTGCCAGAAGAGAATTCTAGTACAACATAGAGAGTATGCAATGTAGAACTTTAACCTGGACAATGAGCTCCTATGGGCAACCCATTTAGAAGAGCTGTTCATTAGAACTGCTAAAAACAAGCAGAAAAACGTCCAGGGTGAACTGTGAAATTCTAAAACCTTTAATTGTACAATAAGGATTACAGGAAGAATAAACCCATTTTTATAATAAGGATTACAGGAAGAATAGATCGATTTCTGGAATCTCTGTCCAGGGAAGGGAAGCAATGTAATTTCAAAGAACAAAACCAGTTAGGGCTAGGCAACCCATTTAGAAGAGCTGTTCATTAGAACTGCTAAAAACAAGCAGGAAAACGTCCAGGGTGAACTGTGAAATTCTAAAACCTTTAATTGTACAATAAGGATTACAGGAAGAATAAACCCATTTTTATAATAAGGATTATAGGAAGATAGATTGATTTCTGAATCTATGTCCAGGGAAGGGAAACAATGTAATTTCAAAGAACAAAATGGCTAACAGAATTGGAAAGTTCCAAGGGGAACTGGAGCCCTTTCAGTGAACTGCCCTCCTGGGTCAACAAGCTGTCCCTGACCTGTCCCAAATGCAGACATCCTCCACATCTGTCAAAGGATATCCTTCTTTAAAAGTGGGAGACTGGACTCAACTCGGTTGACAAAAAGAATCTGAGCCAGAGGCAAAAGCTTGTCCTAATGGTGCTACGGAGAGGAAAGTCTCTCATTCAAGACTATCTGTTTGCACCCAGGATTTTCAGTATTTATAAAGACACCAAAAGTACATCAAAGCAAATCTTCCATTTTTGGGGAACAGGTGTTCCTCGTGCTGCTTTGGTTATCGAATGAATGACAGTTGTCTTTACCTCTCCACGAATATCCCAGCCTGCACTGCATGCACGATGCTCTTGAACCGCGGCTTCTCATCGCTCCTCCTGAGCATCATCCCCATCTGCCGCGTGAAGGTGGAGGCCAGCCAGTCTCGGACCTCGGAAGGCACCGCATCTGACTGGATGTCACTGAGCTCATCCTCCGTATCCAGGAGTCGCCTGAACACAAGAAACACAACCGGACACAGACAAAACCTGAAGTGAGAGCTCTCTGTTCTGAACAGCTGCTCCTCTCCCCCCATCTGCAGACGCAGGTGCAAAGAAACCAAATTAAATCAGCCACAAAAAAATGCAGCACCTTTTGGGTAAGGTTTGTGAGAGCTCACCATTTGCCTTTCAGAAATGTCTTTTCTACAAGTTATATTTCAGGATGGCTCTCTCTACCAGCCTGGACAAGGAAACTGAGTCAGAGAAAGTCACACAGAGTCCCTCTCAGGCTCTGTGGGTCTCAGACCCACTGCACTCAGAGCACCCAGTATCCTGATTCCTAGGTTTGTGGAATTTGAATGGAATCTAAACCTTCCATTTAACAATGCACAGGGAGGTTTATTTCATAGATGGGCCTTGTGGTATTGTTGGGTTTTTTTAATTGACATTTAAAGACTTTGTCATAGACAACAGTAATGCATCATAAACTTTCCAGTTGCTACGAGACTAGATCTTAATTGTTCTCATCACAAAAATATAATGATAATTATGTGACATGACAGAGGTCTTAGCTAATGCTGCGGGTTAATCATACTGTGATATAAAATGTATCAAATCAACACATTGTACACTTTAAACTTACACAATGTTCTGTGCCAATTATATATCAATAAAAGTAATTTTTTAAAAAAGAAAAACTAATAGACTATAAAGTATTACTCAGACCCTAACAATGTCAACTGATATTCTCTGGTTTGATAGACCACCACAGAAACTTAGATGTTTAAATTCAAGCAAAATCTCCCAAATAAACAGTTCTGTATTTGAGCACAGACATTTAAGTCATCTGTCAGGTGGACTTAGCTGATATTTTAAACTTGTTCATAGGTCAGACCACTAGAACAAAATATAAATATACTAAGTTACATCAAATTTAGAATTGTATTTTATACTTATAGTAAGCCCTACTAAAAAGGAGTAAAAACTGGTGTTAATAAAAAGATTTTTTTTCTTTAAACACATCAGTTGGGGAAAGGGAATAAAGTGTGTATCATTTGGGGGGTGGGGGAAACTATGATATCAAATTTCCTTAAATTAGGAACCAACCATGTTACAAAAACTAAGCCACAAATTCTTAGATGACTGGGAAATCAGCTAAGAATCATCTCAGACTGGAATTTGGCATAGAAATGTAAGGGCGCACAAATACTGACAAAGGAGCCTATCTGAATTTTTAAAAGAAGATTTCATATTCATCATTTCAACTTTTCTTTTCCAAAAGAAAAGCAATTTTATTGTTTTCAAATGCATTTAGTAATTGGAAGCATTTTAATACTTTTGGATAATTCAAGTGCAGAGTCAGCCAAGAAAAATCAATGTCATACTTACTGAAGGAGAAACACGGGGTGCTTAAGAGAACAAATGCTTCTCCTTCACCCCCAGGCCCTCCACGTACAGACAGATACTGTGAGCTGGAGTAGAACCATAACATTTAGACTGAACCTAACGATATGCAATGATCATAGTAGAAGCCTACATTTGATAGAAAATCTTACCCGATTTTTACAATGACCTTTTCCCCTATTACATGGTCTCACTCCAGTGTCATAATGGCTGGATGAGATAAGTTCTATCAAAAGCTCCTTTTGATAGATGAGGAGGTACAGAGAAAATGTGAGCTCAAATCTACCCCATTTGCTTGTGGAAACTAAAGCTCCAAGACCGGTCATTTGAATGCTACCCTGTACATGCCATGGGGGACAATTCAGAAGGGCCATTTAATGGAAAAGTCACCATCAGTGCACTAACTTCTTGTCATTTTTACCTTACCTGGTTTCATCGATGTATACAGACTCAAGCACTGTAGCTGCATATTCCAAATTCTTCTTAAGATCTACCACTGAAGCCTCCCCTCTCTCTAACTGTTTGACCAAAGAGCGTAACCTAAGGGAGGAAAAGACATAATTCAATTAGAATAAAGGAAACAAAGAATGATCCTACAATTACAGTGACACATTTTAGAGTCATTCAATATTTTTATTTATTCCAATATATTGTAAAGGAAGATATTAATCTAATAATGGAGCTGGCCAGTATATCTCAAGGAGCAAGTTATAAAATAAATGCACACATTTTTATGAAGCAAGAATAAAAACGTTCTCATCTACCAGGCACTGACCACCCCCAACACTTTCCAGCTACCTTTTATGTTTAAGAGTTCCCTACATTATCAATGGTTTTGCAGCTTCTCTGATTTTAATTTTTGTTGCCCTAACTGGATGCAGTAAAGCATGACCAGCAACATCATCATCAGGTTGAGATTCTGCTATGTTGACAGTATTTTTTTCACAGGGACTGTGGAGAATAGCAGCCTCCTGGCCCACGGGTCTTCCAAGACAGCCAAGCAGGTCTAAATCGCCAGAATAATCTTAGAGGGCTACAAAGGTAGCCATGAAGGCAAAATAGCTCACTGGACAGGAAGGATGCCTCTAGGAGCAGATAAATACCCTAGTTGAAAAACAAACAGGAGGATGGGTGATCAACCTAGGAACTGAGGACAAAACCTTCCCCGCTGCTAGTCAAGACTTCCAGAGGGTATAAGAGAAATGATAAAGCATGCTCTCCTCGGAGAAGGACTTAGTATGTAGAGCCATAAAATGCCAACAGATGATCAAAGTCCAGTAACTAGGAATACTAAATACCACAGTGATTAGGAGATAGGACAACACTTCAGACAGACAAACAGCAAAAAAAAACAAAACCAAAAAAAAAAAAAAACAGAAACTTTGAGGACACTTCACAACAAATTGGCTATGCAATTCCAGACAAATTATTATTATATTTTTTAATCCTCATCCAAGGATATGTTTTGATTGATTTGACAGAGAGAGAAAGAGAGAGAGAGAGAGAGAGAGAGAGAGGTATTATTTGCCCCCCGTAAATACCCCAACTGGGGATTAAACCCACAACCTAGGTATGTGCCCTGACTGGGAATCAAACCCGCAAACTTTGGTGTATGGGACAACTCTCTAACCAACTGAGCCATCCAGCCAGGGCAGGCAAGTTATTTAATTTCTGTGAGAGTCAGCTATAAAATGGAGATCCAACCAACAAATCTCCTAGATTGCTATAAATGTTAAATCAAATTGATATTAATATAGTCACATCAACCATGTGACCCACTGTCGGTTTTTCCCCATCTTTATTGAGATGTAATTTACATATCACATTTTGTAAGTTTAAGGTGTACAACATGATGATTTAATACATGTATAGATTGGAAAATGATTACCACAATATAGTTAGTTAACACATCCATCACCTCACACAGTTACAATTTTTGTGTGAATATTTAAGATTTACTGTCTTAGCAACTTTCACATAATACTCAAAACTAATACTTGCTAACTAGTCATCATGCTGTACATTAGATCCTCAGAACTTATTCGTCTAACTAGAACTGTGTGTTCTTTGACCAACATCACATTTACTGGTTGTTTTTCATAAAAGGCAATTGTTATCATTACCATCATTGCCATTATTTGGTGACCTCGATCATCATAGGCAACCAGATGAGAAATACTGTAGCAGGACACTTAAGATTACCATCAAGTCTCCATTTCCCAAGGCTGAGCCCACCTTCCTGACTTCAAAATCCTCTGACTTGTATTCACAAGAAAGAAGACTTAGACTTCTTGGCAATATGTAAACTACTCCCCTGTAGATCCACATGAAAATGATCCATTAAAATAATAAGGAAAAAGTCTGGATCAACCTCAAAATGTAAGCAAGGGGTCATCCATACAAAAGAAATTCCCGGGAATGTCAATGATGTAAAACACAGAGAAAGTTCACTTGAATCACCATCTGACTGTGAATCTCTAACATGCAAAGGGAAAGATGCAAAGCACACCCACAGAGGCCTCTGCCCCCTGGGAGGTGAGGTTGGCGGTGGCTCCCATTAGCAGCGTTAGGAAGTGCTCTGGGTTTCAGAGGCAGCATAGGACAGGTTGTTGGCACAGAAGGGCTTGTAGTCACTCACACACCGTAGACAGCCCGCCTGCCAAAGGATGGCAGACTGCAGCGGCCAGCCCTGAAAGCTGCTCCAAAAAAGGAATGGAAGCTCTTTAGCAATAGCATTCCTGGCTACGTCTGCCTCTCATTTTCACTCTCACCTCCAAGAGCCCCACTGCCCTCCAGGTTGTTTGGACTGGCAACTGGCAAAATAAAACAAGGGTAAATTTAAACTTTTCTATTTCTCCCTTCATTTGGGGCTTCAGGTTCCTGCCAGGAATGTCCATGAATCACTAATAGGGCCCATCTCAATTCTCAAAACCTAAGGGCAAAGGACAAAGCATTAAAAAATGAAAATGGAAGGCTAATAGGAGTAAGAACCAGATGGTCCTATCTGCTGGCAATAGGGCTTCCATAATAGCAAATATAAGCAGCTTTAATCAAGGAAGTTTTCCTAGACTGAAGAAACACCTTGATAAACAGATAAAAAGAGATCAAATACAACCAGGAAAAAGATAAATGAAAACATCTAACGTATGCCGTTCTAATTTTTTAATTCAAAGAATAAAGAAAAGAACTTGAAAATCTTTGAGAAAATAAAATACATTATTTAAAAGTAATGAAAATTCAAGCTGGCCACAGACTCCTATACTGCCAAATATCAGAAAGTAATTTAACAACAATAGCAAGTTTTGAAAATAGTATGGTATAATTCAGGATATCTATATCTATATTTCATAGAATTGCCATGTATATGTGAACCCATCAAGTGTATTCTCAGGTGTGGACAAACTCAAACTTTCATCATTAAAAAGCTTTCCAGAAAACAAAGACGTTAAGGCATTCTCTATGCCAGAGGTCTATCCTCTTTCAAAGGGGATAGATTTATGGCTCTCCAATTAAATGGACTGTGGATTCACAACATAGATTTAACCTAACCACCCTTTACAAAATAGACAGTTTCAAAGATTAAAAAGAAGTGGCACATGGCATATAATGCTAATTATACAAGGACAAGTTCGCGTGAAAATGACTGACACTTCTTTTCCTAAGACAAGTTCCTATTCCTACTATATATGCTCCTATGTCACTCTTTTTATTATGAGTTAAAACCATTAAAAATATTTACTGTGTGTAAAAACCACATATTTGAGACAGCAGGAACCAAAGCATCCTCCGTCAAATTCTCACTTCACTTGTATTTCATAAAAGTGCTTTGAACTTAGATTGCTACCACCCGAGTGGAGGGGATAGCCAAAGGGAAGCCCTGTGGAACCAGAGTCGATTCCCAGGGCCAGGGCATGACCCCAGGCTAACACACCTGCCACATGCTGGGCACCTAGACATGCCCAGGAGTACTCAGGTACACACACACACACACACACACACACACACACACACACACAGGAATGAGGGGGTCAGGCACCAGTGTCATTCATTTCTGAAGGAGCCGCTTCAAATCCTGACCCTTTACTCTATTTCAGCGGTTCTCAACCTGTGGGTCGCGACCCCTTTGGTGGTCGAACGACCCTTTCACAGGGGTCACCTAAGACCATCCTGCATATCAGATATTTACATTACGATTCATAACAGTAGCAACATTACAGTTATGAAGTAGCAATGAAAATAATTTTATGGTTGGGTCACAACATGAGGAACTGTATTTAAAGGGCCAGAAGGTTGAAAACCACTGGTCTATTTGATAAGACAAAGGATGCTATGTAAAAACAAATCACAGTCAAACACTGTATAATTAAAATGATCACGAGCCTTAGCCAGTTTGGCTCAGTGGATAGAGCGTTGGCCTACAGACTGAAGAGTCCCAGGTTTGATTCCGGTCAGGGGCACATGCCTGGGTTTCAGGCTTGATCCCCAGGAGGGGGTGTGCAGGAGGCAGCCAATCCATGATCCTCTCTCATCAGTGATGTTTCTCTCTCTCTCTCTCTCTCCTTCCTCTCGGAAATCAATAAAAATATATTAAAAATAAATAAATAAAATGATCATGAACATTAAAAAACCCCACTCCTGGGAAAGTACAACATTGGGGACATCATCAAGTCATGAAGAGCCTCATATCTCTTGTGATCCGGCCACCAGAACCCTAGAGAAAGCGTCACTGTGAACCCCTCAACATTTCAGATCAGCAGCCCTGAAATCATCTGCCCCAGAGAGTCCCCCACTTTGTGTCACAGTGAGCAGCAGTCAACTGCGGGGGGTTCCCCTGATGTGGTCACCAGTAGAGCCACACCTTGGGCTCAGCCACATGTATGTATCCAGTGTGCAGCTCTGACCCAACAGGAAGCTGGAAACACTTCACCAGTGGCTTCAACTATCCCAGAGAAGAAATGACACAGAATAAAGTACCTTTGGATGCGTAAATGGTACCAAAAATTCAAGTCTACTCCCATCCTTCTAGCTTATGAGATGAGCAGAAGATTCTACCAACACCTTGGCAGGCAGTGAAGGGAGCCTTGGACAACACCCAGACAACACTCACCTCTCTTTAGTCAAGGACAACTAAACAGGGAAAAAAAATCTGTGAAAAGACTCGGCAATACAGATGCAGAGAACAGACCACTCAAAATGTAGACAAAGACACACTTCTGAAAAGGAAATTCACCAAAAGAAACAAAAATAAATTTTAGGGAGCATCTGTCTGCTTTGTGTTCAATTAAATTCAAGAAAGCAGATCTGTGAAACAAAGGTGAAAGCTGAAATCATAATGTAATAAAAAGTGAACATATTGAGAAAGACAAAATGAAAAAGAAAAAAATTATGGCAATACAAAAACTATATAAACTTTTTGAAAAAAGTAAATGGTGTCCGGCCCGTGTGGCTCAGTTGGCTGAGCATTGTCCCATGCACCAAGAGGTCACTGGTCCGATTCCCTATCAGGGCTCATGCCTGGGTTTGGGGCTTGATCCCCAGTG